AGCCTCAGCCTGCCTTCAGCCTCAGCCTCAGCCTGCCTCTCAGCCTCAGCCTCAGCCTGCCTCCAGCCTCAGCCTCAGCCTCAGCCTCAGCCTCAGCCTCAGCCTCAGCCTCAGCCTCAGCCTGCCTGCCTCAGCCTCAGCCTGCATCAGCCTCAGCCTCAGCCTCAGCCTGCCTCAGCATCAGCCTGCCTCAGCCTCAGCCTCAGCCTCAGCCTCAGCCTCAGCCAGTCTGCCTTCAGCCTCGGCCTCAGCCTCCGCCTGCCTCAGCCTGCCTCAGCCTCAGCCTCAGCCTGCAGCCAGCCTCAGCCTCAGCCTCAGCCTGCCTCAGCATCAGCCTCAGCCTCAGCCTCAGCCTCAGCCTCAGCCTCAGCCTGCCTCAGCCTCAGCCTCAGCCTTCAGCCTCAGCCTCAGTCTGCCTTCAGCCTCGGCCTCAGCCTCAGCCTGCCTCAGCCTCAGCCTCAGCCTCAGCCTCAGCCTCAGCCTCAGCCTGCCTCAGCCTCAGCCTCAGCCTGCCTCAGCCTGCAGCCTCAGCCTCAGCCTGCCTCAGCCTCAGCCTCAGCCTGCCTCAGCCTCAGCCTCAGTCTGCCTTCAGCCTCGGCCTCAGCCTCAGCCTGCCTCAGCCTCAGCCTGCATCAGCCTCAGCCTCAGCCTCAGCCTGCCTCAGCATCAGCCTGCCTCAGCCTCAGCCTCAGCCTGCCTCAGCCTCAGCCTCAGCCTGCTTCAGCCTCAGCCTCAGTCTGCCTTCAGCCTCGGCCTCAGCCTCAGCCTGCCTCAGCCTCCTGCCTCAGCCTGCCTCAGCCTCAGCCTCAGCCTCAGCCTGCCTCAGCATCAGCCTGCCTCAGCCTCAGCCTCAGCCTGCCTCAGCCTCAGCCTCAGCCTGCTTCAGCCTCAGCCTCAGTCTGCCTTCAGCCTCGGCCTCAGCCTCCTGCCTCAGCCTCAGCCTGCCTCAGCCTCATCCTGCCTCAGCCTCAGCATCTGCCTGCCTCAGCCTCAGCCTCAGCCTGCTTCAGCCTCAGCATCAGTCAGCCTGCAGCCTCGGGAAACTCGAAGAACACGAACAGTTGGCATTCACCTGGAGTTCTGGGAACTCGAAGACCACGAAGTGGCCTACAGTTGGCTCCGGGCATTCAAAATCATGCCCAGGAATGGAGTTCTGGGAACTCGAAGACCACGAAGTGGCCTACAGTTGGCTCCGGGCATTCAAAATCATGCCCAGGAATGGAGTTCTGGGAACTCGAAGACCACGAAGTGGCCTACAGTTGGCTCCAGGCATTCAAAATGTGGCCCGGGAATGGAGTTCTGGGACCTCGAAGACCACGAAGTGTGTAACTGTTTGCTTGAAACGACTTCCGCGGATTCTCCCCGGATCCTGCCTGGACCCCCCTGGGGAGTCATGATGCTTTCTCTTGAGACCATTAGAAACCTATCAGTCTTCGCTGTTAGGTAAAAGTAACCTGAGCCGAATGGCACTGGAGGAGGAAGAGGAGGCGGAGGAGGATCGAGGAGGAGGATCAAGGAGAATGATCGAAGAGGTGGTCAGAACGCGCCCTGGCCAGGGCGCCCCCCCCGTGACCGCTTCTCGCGGCGAGGGGGGGCGCCCCGGAGATTTGCGGAGGTGGTCAGAACGCGCCCTGGCCAGAGCGCCCCCCCGTGACCGCTTCTCGCGGCGGGGGGGGCGCTCCAGAATCCAGAGAGGGAGACACAACGCGCCCCTCCAGGATGCCCCCCCGTGACCGCTGCTTGCGGCGGGGGGGGCGCCCTGGAGGGGCGTGCGTCGTCGTCGTCATCGCCGTCATGACGGCGACGACGGCGACGACGCCTACCTGGGCATTCAAAATCATGCCCAGGAATGGAGTTCTGGGAATTCGAAGAGCACGAAGTGGCCTACAGTTGGCTCCGGACATTCAAAATCATGCCCAGGAATGGAATTCTGGGAACTCGAAGACCACGAAGTGGCCTACAGTTGGCTCCGGGCATTCAAAATCATGCCCAGGAATGGAGTTCTGGGAACTCGAAGACCACGAAGTGGCCTACAGTTGGCTCCGGGCATTCAAAATCATGCCCAGGAATGGAGTTCTGGGAATCGAAGACCACGAAGTGGCCTACAGTTGGCTCCGGGCATTCAGTGGAGTTCTGGCGAAGACCACGAAGTGGCCTACAGTTGGCTCCGGGCATTCAAAATCATGCCCAGGAATGGAGTTCTGGGAACTCGAAGAGCACGAAGTGGCCTACAGTTGGCTCCGAGCATTCAAACTCATGCCCAGGAATGGAGTTCTGGGAATTCGAAGACCACGAAGTGGCCTACAGTTGGCTCCGGGCATTCAAAATCATGCCCAGGAATGGAGTTCTGGGACCTCGAAGACCACGAAGTGTGTAACTGTTTGCTTAAAACGACTTCCGCGGCTTCTCCCCGGCACCCGCCCAGACCCCCCTGGGGAGTCAAGATGCTCTCTTTTGACACTACTAGAAACCTATCAGTCTTCGCTGTTAGGTAAAAATATTCAAACGTATTCATACATGGTGGACAAATCGTCCCCGGACTATTAAATTACTACTTTCGAATTTCCATCCTGTAGAGGGACGCGCCGGGCCACCAAACAAGCAAACCACCCGAGACATCCCCACGATCTATGCGCGACCGCGCGAATGTTAACGCCCCTTGACGGCCCCCTTTGGGCTGGTAAAGTGAGCGCCTCGCTCTGGATATCCTCCCACGATCCGCCGCGAAAACAGCTGAAACTGTACCCCCAAACAGGCGAACCGCTTGAGACCGCCCCACATATCTAAGCGCGAACGCGCGTGTGTAGCACCCAAAGGCGGCTCCCCCAGTGGGGTGTTAAGAAAGCGCCTCGCTCGAGACATCATCACGATCTGTTTCGAAAGCACAAGAGCCTCGGTCCCGAGCGAGCAAACCGCCTGAGGCTGTATCTTGTCTCTTGCCCCCAAGACGGCCCGCGAGTCCCGAGACAGCTCCAAGACGACCGAAAGAGAGCCCAAGACGGCCTCGAGAGGCTCCTGACGACACGAGAGCGCCCCGAGACGGCCCCAAGGTCATAAAGGTTGCACGAGAGGGCCAAAGGAGGCCCCGAAAACTGATCAGCACGGGGCCCAGCGGAGCCCAAGGCGGCCCCTCACTCTGGACCCTGTCCGGCGGCACTTCGGGGGGGGGCCCAGGACCCAAACCACGCTCGAGCGATTACGATCATCCTCGGCGAAAAGCGCACTGCGCTTGCACAGAAGGGCGCGGGGGGTGATCTGCGGCGACTCGCCGCAGGCGTCTGCGACACTGCGCAGGCCCCAAGCCGTCTGAACATCTCCCAGGCACACATGAAGGGACGTGCATCGCCGCCCCCGCCGTTTTAAGACGAAGCCAGGACGAGGCGAAATTCGGATGAGGATAAATCGAGAATCTCTTAGATCCGGCGGCTCTGGAGTATGTATCGAGCGTCGCGGCCTTCTCAGAGCGTTCTGGAACGCTCTGAGAGCGTTTCGGAACGCTCTGGAACGAATTCATCCTCGTCCCAGCCCCGTCCGACCGTTTGGGCCCATTGGCCCATGACACACTGGCGGCATCTGCCGTTCAAGCGCCTGGATACCAGGCTGGCTGGGCTGGCTGGCACAAAGAATGACTACCTACCAAACCCAAATTTCGGGTTGGGTGGGGTACCGGTTCCATATGTGTTGTTTCCTTTGTCCCCCGACCCCCACCCACTAACAATGGATGGCAAATTGAGGCCTTCGGGTTGGGCTGGGGTGGTTTGGTGGGTGGCGAAAGAAACCCACACACACACACACACACGAATTATCTGCGGAGAAAAAACAGCTGGTCACGGGTGGCTTAGAGCGGCAGATCGCTTGTACCTCCGTCTCCACATGGACTGCGCCAGCAGCTCCACGTGCCCGTGCGTGTGCAGATCGTCGGTCGTCGGCGACGCCAGGGCGCCCTCCTGGTGCAGCTTGACGCTGAGGTCGCCCCCCATCTTGTGCCAGACCACGTACTCTTGGAAGGAGATCTGGGGATCGTTCGCAAATGTTCGCTGGCCATCGCTCGGACGTCCATTCCCTGTGTTTTTGTTCGGTTTCGTGCGCGGTTTTTTCGCCGAATGATCAAGGATGCTCCTCGATGGTCCTCGCCGAAGGAAAAATGCACACGTCCGAGCGATGCCAAGTTCGGCGACAGCACAGGCTGCCCCCATGGGGACTGGTCGGGGATCTTCTGACCCGGGTCAATCCAGACCCGGGTCAGCCAAGCCTTGCAGAATCCTGCAAGATCCTGCCAGACCCTGCACCCAAACCCGGGTCAATGCGAAGGATCCTGCAAGATCCTGCAGGATCCTGCACCCAAACCCGGGTCAATGGGAGCCTGGCCCTGCAGGATCTTGCAAGATCTTGCGCTCTGGCTGACCCCCGTTTGCATTGACCCCCGTCTCAAGGCTTCCGAACTGGGGGAAGGAGGGCGGTGCCGGCCGATGTGGCCCGACCTTCTGGCTTCGGGTGCCCCCACGCAGGCCCGCGCGCAGCAGTCCTGCGCGCCCCCGTCGGACCTGCGAAACCGACCGCAAGGTCGGGCCTGTCCCCTGCAGGCGGACTTCGAACGAGCCATTAGCAGTACCCCAAAAATACCGAAATTGTCAAAGTATCGTCCCCAGACTAGTCTAGTTTCTGACGATTTTGAATACTCCTCCCGAAAAGGGACACGCCAGACTTACGGAGAACCCCCTGGAGAAGGGAGGGGGGAACGGGCGGACCAGACGACCCAGGTGATCGCTGGACCTTTACAAAAAACAGTCTCCTGCTGGTCCAAATTGACGTCCATCTTCTTGAACTGTTCCTCCGCTTCCTCGAGGAACTTCAGCGCGACGTCGGGCTGCCGGAACTCGTTGGGCATCATGTCGACGACCATCTGCCTGAACTCCTTGCGGCTCAGGAAATTGGTATTGTCGACGTCGTAGGCCGCAAACTCCGCGTAGCGGCGCGCCCAGCTCTGTGCCTCCCAATTGTCATCGTCGGACTCCCCGAAGAACAGATGGGCACACGCCGTGACGAACACCGGATAGGAGAAGCGCTCGACTTTGTAGTTGCTGCAAAGGCGCAGGACCTCTGGAGGCGTACCCGTCGGTCGGAAGAAGTGGGTAGAAACATGAAGTAGGCAGGCGTTGGAAATAGATTGGGTCTCCTCCCACCCCCTGAAGAGCAGGGAGGAGGGATAACCGCTAGACTTTTGGGGTAGGAAGGCGCCTGTAAAGTGGATTGGGATCTGGGTATCCAAAAACACCTACTCTCTACGAGCGGCGTGCACAGCCGCAGCATGGCCACAAGATCGGGGATCTTCTGACCCGCGTAAATTCATCCCCGGGTCAGTCAAGCCCTGCAAGATCCTGAAGGATCCTGCACCCAAACCCGGGCCAATGCGAGGGATCCCCTGGCCCTGCAGGATCCTGCAAGATCGGGCGCGCTGGCTGACCCCCGTTTGCGTGGACCCCCGTCTCTTGAGCCCCGAAGGCAGACGGGGAGGAGAGGAAGAGGAGGAGGAGCGCGCGGACCGCACGCCACCAGCAAGAGGCAAGCCTCGAGCTGGTGGTCCGGTTCGATCAGCACCCAGCACACACCAGGGCGTGGGCCGAGCGGGAGGGCCGCCCCGCCTGCCTGGCCACGTCGCACGCCATCCTCCCCAGCGCCGAGAGCACCAGGAAGAGGTACACGCATGCGGCGGGGGAGGGGGAGACGACGGGCGACAGACTACAAGGGCGGCCCAAGAAAAACAAAACGAGTTTAATCAGACCCAGAGCTCGCTCCATCGGGAACGGGTTCGGGAACACAGGCGGCCGCTTCCAGCGGCCTCGAATCATCAGCACTGCGGAGCTCCGCGCGGTCATCGCCGCGCTCGGTGGCCCCAGCTATCTTCACGCCCGTCCTGGGGTGACACCCGCGCTCCAGCCGTCTAATCGACATTCTCTGGTTGGCGGCAGTGCTAGGGACCTTGGACCTCCCTTTGCATTGCTGCGTGAGGTTTCGCAGCGAGCCAAGAGATCCGTGAGCCCCGCACAACTTACAACAGTACACATGCAGATGACGGAAAACGTCGTGCCCAAGGTCCCGAAACACAGAAAACTCGTCCGACGGCTCAGGCACAGCCACAGGAGTCGGGGGACCTTGGACTTCATCAATGCACGCACGCTGAGCTTCGTCAGCGGCAGCCAGAGCAACCCTCACTGCTTCCAGCTGCACGGGCCTAAAAGCCGCCCCAAACTCGCGAAACCACTGGTCGCACACGTGTCGCTGGATCGAAGACGGAGAACAATCACGATAGTCTCTGCTCGTGAGCAGGCTCTTAAGCGACTCCAGAGTGCGAGCCACGCGGCCACAACTCCTGCACTTGTAAGTGCTGGTGGCCTCGCAGCGAAATAACACATGGCTGGTGACCGTGACCTTAGGAGGGGCAGGGGCTCTCAAGAGGCGGAGGGGACGATCAGGGTCAACTTGTGTCCATGTGCCAGACTCGAGCAAACGTTGAGCAGCCCATGCAAGGAACCGCACCGTGGACTTGTGATATTTTAATTGGCCTGAAACCGCCGCACAGAAGCCTTCAGCCAGCGTGTGAGAGCTAGCCCCTAGTTTGGCGAAAAAATCAGCCCACAGGTTCCCAGCCCAACTTTTGATACACAGCCCACGCTCCAAAACGTCGTCAAAACTCAGATGGGCAGGGAACCACGAGAACTGGGGGTGATTGGACTTCAAGTCGAATATGGACCTCCAGATCGATGCATGCTTGGACATGCCTTGGGAAAGATGCAGGCTCCAAGAGTTGCCTTCACGCACTACTGCCTGGAGGTCCGAAACAATACTCTGATGCTGTGGGTGAAAAGCCAGGCCCTGCCGCACTGCCCAGCGTTCAGCGCGACCTATGGTCTGACGTTCACCTGGAAGCGCTCCATATACTGCCCTCTAAGGAAGCAGGCAATCAAATAACTGCACCACGCTCCAACCAGCTCTGGAGACCTCTGGGACCCCAGAGTGAAAACAGCTACCGTCAGTGAAAGACTGTGGGCCCCAGGGCCCAGAGACGTCCCCAAACTCAAAAATAGGCGGGTTGGCGAGCGGAGCGGGAATATTAGTGGGTAGAGGAGGGATGCCATAAGTTAAACAATTAGAATGTACATCGGGCTCCCCAGTAATAGAGGCCCGAGACTCAATCAGAACGCGCCTATGCTTAGCTATGGCCTCAGGAACCTCGTCACCCAACGCGTCAACCCCGTCGTCGGTGATGAACTAAGAGCAGGCATACCACACATGTCCGTACGTACCTTGAGGAGCGGAGCAGGCAAGGCACACGGGTGGTACATCATATTGTAGAGCAGAAAGTGCAGCAGGTAGCGGAACCACATTCCCCCAGACGGCCGCCAGGGCCCCAAGAGCCCGCTGGTCTTTTACAGCACGTATGCCATTACGTAGCGCACGAAACCAAGGCACCCCTTCAGGAGGGTCAGTGTTATAGAGATGCTGCTGCAACCGACGTATCTGCCACCGCTGCACACCTTCAATAATAGCAATACGCACATCACTAGGACACTCCACCAGCAGCGAAATATCTGTACCAAGATCGCTGCGAAAGGTGTGGGCATTGACCATCGTCCAGCCGATGCGAAGCAGGCTGAGCCACAGCGCCGACAGCGGACCTCGAGCCTGCTGCCAGGTAGGGTTGTCGGACATGATGTCTCTCAGACGGGTCCAAGCACGTTGAAGTCTCGATAACTGAATCCTTTCGTCCCAGACGAACGTGGCGAACTTAACACACACACAAGTAGTGGAGTCGTAGATCGGGTCGTATTGCGGATCGGCCTGCGTCAGCAGATACGAAGTAATGCCACCGTGCTGCTTGGCCCCTGCGATCGTAGCCGCAAGCTGCCTCAAATACTTCAGCGCAGTGTCAGATGCCTGACACGGAGCCACCGTGTCCAGCTGCTGGGAGAGCTCCAGTCCTCCACAGTCGGGTTGCACGCTTGCCAGTTGCATGTTTCAGCGCAACGAACTTGTCACGACGACGTCTGAGAGCCTGTAACCTTTTCTTTTCCTGCGTGCGAACAACCCGACCAGCAGCTAATTCATGCCCGAGATTTCTCATCCATCTACGAACAGGTAGATGCAGCCGAATAGCCAACTTCGAAAACACCTTCCGAGCCACTTTGTTCCCAGCAATGAGCCCCGACTTCTTGACATGGGAGTGGAGCCCGAGGACCTTGGCCTCTTCAGTGAACACTTTCACAGCACGCTCCAGGAGACGCACGTCCCGAGGATCCGAGGTGACGAGCTGAATCGAGATGTCGTCGACTAGGGCTCCCGGTGTAATACAGGGCGAAATGTCATTGAGCCTACGCACCGCGCGCAGCGTGAGGAGGAAAAGCATGCCTGTCGCATGATTGCACCCAGCAAGGATGCCTTGATGCGAGCAGAACTGCACAGACAGACTGCCGAAAGCTCGAAGACGTCGTGGCTGCCTGTACAGATCCACCAACATCCAAGCTAGCCGCATTGGAAAGTGCAAAGCTTCAGCTTCTTTCAGCAGCTGCTCCGAGTGTACCATCTCGAAGCATTTGATCATATCTAAGAGGACAGAAATTGAAATATCACCGACAAGCGCCGCCATCTCGGCAGCAATGTTGTGAGCAAAAGCACTGTCTGAGGAGCTGTGACCCCGACGCGTCCCCCAAACAGCGTGGCAGTCGTTACGCTCTTGCCAGTCGAAGGTGATGGGCTTGCGAACTTTGCCCCAGACACGGCACAGCAAAGAGACGAGCGCGATCAGTCGAGTCCCACCATCTGGTTTGGCAAGACGACACATCTCATTACAGACACGCTCTCTAGGCCAGGCTAGGTGCAACTCGCACAAGTTAAAGAGTTCTGCAATCGCCGAGAATGCCTGTCTAGGCAGGTGTATTAAAGCTCTCGGATGAATACCCATCATGCCTCCAGCAGTGCGAGTGGGGTAAGTGTGAACAGCATCCTCCACCTGAGCGGCCGTGATGCGCGGCAGACTGGGCCAGCTGGTGGACCCACGCGGAACCTCGAGAACGGAACAACCGTGGGACAACCAAACCTCCTCCCAGGGAACGAGTTCCGCATCGGCCTGCTGGTGGGGAGCCTCACGCGCCTGGTTGCTTAAAACCTCTTGGATGGCCTTCACCTTTGAGAACCTGTGAGCCTTCGAGGCGCCAGCAGAGAAAGCGTCCCTAGCCCATTGCCTCCAAGCCTGGACGCCGCGTTCTCCGCACGAGCGATCGCAGCCTTCGCCCGAACGTAGATAGTGGTGAGCATCCTGGCCACATCGGGACGCGCAAGGACGGCGAAGCCGCCGTTGAAGAAATCACGCACCTCAGGGTCAAGGCAACCAAGAACTTTTTTACAGCGGGCGATGTTGGCCATGAAACGATCGAACTCCTCAAAGGCCGACAAAAGCTTGCGACATTGGCAAGGCACAGCAGAACACGGAGCATCGTTAACTTGCAACAGCCTAATTTGCTCACTGAGATGTTCTCTGGCCTTGCCTAGGTGTTTGGCCCACCCAAGAGCGACGGCCCAGGCACGTGCTTGCGGATCCTTATAAGTCCTCCTTCTGGGGGGAGTCCAGACAAGCTTTTTGAAATGGACCTCAAGAGGCCCACTGCGGCCCACGTAGGCCTCGGCGGCAACGCCAACACGGTCCCACCTGGCGGCCAGCTCTCTTTCCACCCCTTCGAGGACGAGATCCCAAAAATCAGCAACTTTGGCTACAGAGTCCACTTGCGGGGCAGCGGTCGTCAAAACCGCGTGCCACGGGTATATAGGAGGTCTAGCACAGCCAATGGGAGGGGTCGACGGGAAAGCTTTCGGGACCTTGGCCACCCGAGCCCAAACAGGCGTCTCCCGAGCCCTCAACGTAAGCTGGACGGGGAGATGAGGGTAGGTGGTGGCAGCCTCCAACACGCACGTGCGGGGGTTGATCTTTGGCGCCAGCCAGCTGCTGCAAATGAAATAATCAAGGTGCGTGCCTGGTGAAACCTGCCTGCAAGTGGGCGCCTCAGAAACGAAAGCCAGTCTTCCAGCCGCCGCAATCCAGTCGGACTGGTCCAGGGCGGTGAGCGGCATGTTGAAATCGGCGCCGATGATCCACGGGATCTGCATGCCATTGAGCACTGACAGGTACTCGATGATCTCCCACACCAGCTCGGCGTTGCACGGTCCGTACCCTTCGCCGTCCTTGAGATAGGCCGACAGGAAGACAACTCCTCCAGGCAGAAAGGACATGACGTGCGCAGCCACAAGCCTGCCAGGTACAAGTAAATGACTAGCACGGCCAGGAGGCGCCTTGATGGGAATGCGTGACCTGACCAATACTGCAACTCCACCTGTAGTGCCAGGCCCTCCATCCTGGTTAGGCACAGCAGGGCCCCAGAGCCCTCTCCAGCCAGTGTCTTCAACTTGCGACTGACGCTCACCAAGCTTGGTATCAGGCACACGGTGCTCTTGCGCCAACACCACGTGAGCAGTGCTGTCCACCAGGTAGTCGCACAGTGGACCCAGCGAACTCGAGTTGAGCGTCACAATTTGTGAGTCGCATTTGCCCTTCACCTGGCCAGCAACCTTGACATCAGGTCGACGAACCCCTGGACAGTCGGTACCCTCTGCCACGCGATGCCCATTGGGCGAGCGTGGTGAGCAGTGCGTGCTGCCAGGGTCTAAAGGATGCATGCCATCAGCACGACCAGCAGTAGAGCCATCCACCCTCGTCGAGCAAGGGGCCGAGCTCGTCAACGCAATCGGCGCACATGTGGCGCTCTCTGCCTGCCCCCTAGTGACAGGTGAGTGTAGCGACCGAGACGATGGCGTAGCACCCGTAGTCGCAGTAGCTGCCCTTGCCGAAGACGCAGTAGGGGCAACCTGAGCACATGAATCAGGCAGATCAGGCTGACTGTCAGCTGCTTGAACAAATTGAAAGGGGTCAACGTCAGGATCGTCCATAAGAGAACGCCTGGGAGCTGAGGTCAGCTCCTCCTTGTCAGTATGTGTCGTCATTGCAACAAAAAGATAGCATAGACAGAACAAAACCACAGCAAGCCGCCCGATCACATTAGGCGGCGGTCGCACCACTGGTCTTGAACTTCTTGGTAAGCGAGTGAACTTGGGCCAAATGACGCTTGAGCTTGTCACGAAGCTCACGCTCCTTAGTGTCATCAATCTCGTCATCATCCCCGCCCACGTCGACGTCGATACCACACTCTTTGAGATGTTCACGGCATGTGCGACCGTCCAGGCCATCGACGTGAGCATTAGCACGATCCTGATCTTCATCATCGTCGATATCCATGGATCCTCGAGCCTCAGGAGGAGTGGACTGAGTCTCGTGCTGAGGCGGTTCAGGAGCAGCTGCAACCTCTGGGGCTTTCTTGAGCTTCTGTACCAGCGCGCGCATGGCGATGAGGTCTGTGCTGAACCGCTCCGAACCGCCCAGCGCTCGGACCACAGCGTCGAACTGCTCGACCGTGGCCTCCATGCCTGGCAAGAAGGTGGACAAAGACGGTGACTTGTCATCGAACTGCACCGCGGGTCCAACCACATGGCGCAACCTCTCCTCAAGCTCCATGATATGTTTGTTAGCAACTTGTTCGTCCTGCTCAACCTGCGCCAGGGCCAGCTTGGCCTTCTCCAGCGTCGCACGAGCAGCCTCTTTTTTGACAGCGATGCTGGACAACTTCGTGCGAGCGGTCTTGAGCTGACTGGTAAGCCCCTGCAGATTGGCCTCGAAAGGTTTGTCGGCCTGTAGCTCGGCCTGCAATCGCTGCTTCTCGGCTTCGTACACCGCCCGCTGCTCGGCGTCCTCAGGCCCCGACAGGAGCTTGAGCAAGCTGCCAAGCTTGGCGAGGCGTTCACGCTTGACCGCCACTCCAGTGCCTTTGGCCCAGGGAGGAATAGCGGGTTCCTTGGACTCCAACTCCGTACCATTATGACTGCCAACCAGCTTCTGCATGCGCTGCTGCAACTCTTCCAACTGCTTGGTGAGGAGCTTCTCACGCTTCGTGGCCAATTCATGAGAGCGCTGCACTGGGACCTTGGGCGGGGGCACCCCGTAGAAGGCGGAGCCTTTCGGGATGCCGCACTTGCCACACCACTTCTGATCACCACGGTTGATCCAGCTCGTACCTGTAGGCTCATGCTTGCACCACTTGCAATACCATGTGCCTGCCTCCGTGCTGCGAGACCTGGGCGCCATGCCGACTGGCGGATGGGCAGGTCGAGTGCGCACGCGACGAGGAACCACGCGAGGCAGGACAAGCGGGCCGTGGTGGGGCTGGGCCGTGCGGGGCGGACCGCACGGCGCTCTGCCTGGGGCGAACCAGGCGAAAGACGAAAGCTGGCCGCGGACTAGCGGTATCCACTTTGTTCCCAGGGGAAACCAAAACCTTGAGCCAAAATGGCTACGGAGGAAGAGGAGGAGGAGGAGGAGGAGGAGGAGGAGGAGGAGGGCGGAGGGGGAGGAAGAGGAGGAGGAGGAGGAGGAGGAGGAGGAGGAGGAGGAGGAGGAGGAGGGAGGAGGGGGAGGAAGAGGTGGAGGTGGAGGAGGAGGAGGAGGAGGAGGAGGACGCGGGGTCAAGCCCCAATCAGAATGGCTCGGCGTCGGACTCGCCCTCATCGGGGCTGTCCGCGCTCCGCTCCGGGGCCAGGCGGCCGAGGTCTCGGACCAGCTCGAGCTCCCCCTCCCCAACGCCGAACGCCCTCAAGACCAGGGGGAGAAGGAACAGGAGGAGGAGGAGGAGGAGGCTCCAGAAGGCACTGACCCCCGTCCCAGGGCTCCCGATTCAAGAGCGTGGGCCGAGCACACCGGCCCCCTTCGCCGAGGGCCCCGTAGGCCCCACGAGGCTGCCCCCGGACGAGCAACACGCCAGGGCGGAGAGCCCGAGCCCGAAGGTCACGTAAGGGGGGTGCCTTCCGAAGCTCCGCCCCTTCCTGGCAGTAGGTCGGGCGTGTCCTCCTACAGGCGGATTCAAGACGAAAAACCAAAAATAGTCAAAAACAAAACATTCAAACATAGCCAAAACAAAGTCAAAAGAAACAAAAAAAACTCCCCAGAGCATTGGTCTACTATTTGGGGGTATTCCCCTCTAGAGGGACACGCCCGACTGGATCCTGGCAGGGAGGCGTCGTGACCGAAGCGGTGCCCGAAGGTCAGCCCGAGCGTGCCCGAGGCCCGAAGTGGTCTGGCCGCGCCCGGGTGTGGCTGAAACGTTTGGTTCGACACCAAGACGAGTTCCAATGTCGGTCACGATTTGGGGTACTCTGGACTCCACGAGAAGACAAGGAGGATGTACAAGGAGGCGGGAGGAAGGAGGAACAGGGGAGATATGCGGGGCCAAGCGGACACACGCCTGAAAAACACGACTGTCGGCATGCTTCGCAAAAGTTGCTGCTGTGAGATGGGCTGGTGGGGATACGCGAAGCGTAAAGAATTCCAATGTCGGTCACGATTTGGGGTACTCTGGACTCCACGAGAAGAGAGGTGGTCTGATTTGGGGGGGGGTCTGATTGGAGCTCTCTTGGAGGGTCCCAGGGGGGTCTGGGCAAGAAGCCTCCCTTTCGTGGCTGGTCTAGGGGCCCCTAGAATGGCTCGTCTGGGAGGGTTGTGACTCCCTCCCTTGAATTCCGAAACCTGGAGTACCTTCCCAAAACTACACGTCCCGTCAAATCTAACAAGTCGGGTCAGGCAACGACAACTCATCACGCAACCTGGAGGGACGCCCCGACAGCATTGTGGGAGGCCGTCTGGGAGCCAGCCCCGAGAACATCTCGGCTTCACTGGGCATGGGCAGGACAGCAAATTCGGCGATTAAATGAAGTGCCAGAGCTCTCGCCGCGCAGAGCGGTCGAAATATCGATGCAACTCTCGGCGATGCGCTGCTGGCACCAGTGCTTGTTGGAAAGTAGGTTCCTGAAATGGCCGCCTGCTTAGAGAGGAGGTCCTGAGCTGGCTTGAGGCATACGGGCCCTCTTGATTCTAAACCGAAGATCCTCTGTCTGGCCTGCTCATCCAAAGCTATAGCTTCTTCACACGCCTCCCGCACCCGCAACTTCAAGAAAGCGGGCGAGAGAGTCAAGAAACTCCTACAACAACCCGCCTGATCTGTGAACACTTCACGCGGCGCGTCGACCTACCACACCATGCAGGCAAGCGAAAGAACGAGAGCAGCAGGCGGCTGCTTGGCCGAGGCCAGCCGCTTGGCCTCACTCGCGGAGAGGAGCGCACCTTCCGACGCAGAGGCGAGCGCTCCCTCCGTGACGCCCTTCTGCCACCAACAGGACGGCCGAAGTCGTGACCGGGCCTAGGGGGTCCCTTTGGGGGGCGCCGCCGAGGAGGGAAATTCGCAGAAGGCATCTATACACCACCACCGTGCAAAGGCAGGGCCATCCTAGTAGGCCCCAGGATGGTGTGTACGCCCTCCTGGCCGAGGCCAAGAGGGTCTATACACCATCCTGGGGCCCAGGATGGCCCTGCCTTGGCACGGTGGTGGTGTATAGATGCCTTCGTCGGAGGAGAGGCCCGAGAGAGCATCCGGGCAGGAGGGGCCCGGAGGACCTGGCGGCGGCGGCACGCAGGGGTCGCAAGGCAGAACTGCCGAGGCCCAGGAGTTCGTTGCCCGGGTGGCCCTCGGGGACCGGCCCGGCCCGGTGCACCGGGGGCGCCTCCCTCTTCCGTGCAGTCTCCTGGAGCCGAGTCGCTTGCGGCCGACGACTCGAGGATGTGCTGACTGTGAGTGGGCACTCCTCGGGCTCGCCCACCGCTGGCGTCGTCCCCCAGATCTCGTGAGGAGGAGGCGGAGGAGGAGGAGGAGGCGGAGGCGGAGGAGGAGGCGGAGGCGGAGGCGGAGGCGGAGGAGGAGGAGGAGGAGGAGAAGGAGGGAGAGGGAGCGGGGAGTTCTGCAAGCAGGGAGGAGGGACAGCAGAAGGAGCGCCTCTGGCTCCACCAGGAACGCGCGAGCCTCGTCGATGCCGAAGTACTCGTTGAGGATCGCGGCCATGCGGGAGGTGTTCGGAAGGGCGGGCGCGCAAGGGGAGTCTCGCACGAGGAGCGGAGGCCGGAAAACAAAGTCGTGCGCAGGTCATACAGAATTACAGGGCAGCTTTTAATACACAGGATTTGTTATAGGATGTTTAATGCATGATTAATATATGCATAGATTTATGCATGAACTCATCGTTGCTTTTAATACTAAACCCCTGCATGTTTAATACATGATCCGCACGCGGGCATGTATTAAAAACGGCACTGTAGGCCTCCCAAATGGTTCTCGCTGCAGAGCCCTCACGACGGGTGCCCCGGGTCCGTTTCCCTCCAGTGGCCCTCCAGTGAACCTCGCCAGCGTGGAGGCTCGCTTCCACAGGGGGGGAAAAGCCACGCCCAGAAGAACCACCCCGACGAGCAAGGCCGTTTAGTAAGCGCACCCAAAGAAGGAATCGATCAGCGAGGCGCTGTTTCGTAAACCCCCAGGGCCGTTTAGTAAACGCCAATTATCGGGTGCGGGTGGTTTTCCTCCTCGCGGTTCCAGTGCACTTCGGGCTTCCAGCGTTGCTGCCAGAATGCTCTCTCGCGGCGTGCTGGCTCGCTCCTGCCTCGCTCCTGGCACAAATCGCGCTGCAAGCGTCGTCGGCGGGAAGCTCACCCAGAGCGTGCCGGCTCGCTCCCAGTGCACTTCGCGTTGACGACGCTGCTGCCTGCCAGGCGTTTTTGGCTCTGGCTGACTACTCGACCCTTCCTAATGTGAATCCTCCTCCTCCTCCTCCTGCTCCTCCTCCTCTTTCTCCTCTTTCTCCTCCTCCTCCTCCTCCTCCCCCTCCTCCTTCTCCTCCTCCTCCTCCTCTTTTTCCTCTTTCTCCTCCTCCTCCTCCCCCCCTCCTCCTTCTCCTCCTCCTCCTCCTCCTCCTCCTCCTCCTCCTCCTCCTCGTCCTCCTCCTCCTACCTCCCTTACGGCAGGTACCCTGGAGGCATGTGTAGTGGCTCAGCGGAGGGGCCAGAAGTGGCCAGACGTTGCTTTGGCGTTTCTGGGGGGGGGGGGGGGGGGCGCCGCGGCGCCTTGCTCACATCCTCCTCCCCCTCAAGGCGCAGCTGGCTGGGAGCCGCTGACCCCATATATATATATATATATATATACATCCCTCCTCCGCCTCCCCCCCCCCCCGCGGCAGCCGCGAACGACGAGCGTGTCCACATCCGTGCCCTCGCGGTCTGGCCATCGAGGCGCCACCCCGTGGACACGCGGTGCCGCGGATGCGCTCCGGGCGGAGCATCTGCGCAAGGCCGCCCGAGATCCACGGAGCCGAGTCCGGGGGTGCACAGGCAGGAGAGCCCAGGATCGGATCGACAAGTCGGATCGGCGATCGACATGAATCGGATCGTCGGAAATCGGCAGCTGAGTCGGGAAAAGTCGGATCGGCAGAAATCGGCAGGCAAGTGTGCCTCCAATAAGAAATCGGAACTCAAATCGGAATCCCAGATCGAATCGAATCGGAATCGGAAGCCATCGAAATCGAATCGAATCGAATCGGAGGAATCGAAACGAGCCCTGGCACAGGGCGGGGCAGCAGGCCAGCTCACGGAGCTGGTTTCACAGGCGCCCTCTCGGCGCCAGCGGCGGTCATGCATCGAGGAAGGCGCCCGGCGGCGGGGCCGAAGCTGCGGCCGAGGGAGGGCAGGAGGGAGGAGGAGGAGGAGGAGGAGGAGGAGGAGGAGGAGAAATATGCGGAGGATGAGGAGGAAGGAGTGGGGAGGGGAAGCGACGCAACATGATCGCCAAGGCCTTTCCAGGAACACCACGAGGGGAGGGCAGGAGGATGAGCAAGGGCAAGGGCACGGAGAGGGGAGAGGACGAATGCCGATGGTCAACTCATCGCTCTACCTCTACAACGTTGGCCCCTGAGCCTGAGTGGCCTTCAAAAGACAGCTTCGCTCCGCATCCAGAGCTCTGCAAGCACGAAAGGACGATAAACAGGAGTGAGGATGAGAGTATTTGTATGCCTTCGGGAATGAAAGAGTCTTCAAATTGAGGCGTGCAAGAATTATCCCGGCAAAGCAACCTAACAGCGATGTGTAGAAGCATATCTGAAAGCATTCCCCTTAAGATTCAGATGAAAATCCAGTTGTAGAATTCTGCTGTTCTCGCAGTCGTAGTCGCATTCGCGATGACAGTCGCAGCGGCAACGGCAGTCGCAGTCACAGCCTCAGCCTCAGCCTGCCTCAGCCTCAGCCTCAGCCTGCCTCAGCCTCAGCCTGCCTCAGCCTCAGCCTCAGCCTCAGCCTCAGTCAGCCTTCAGCCTCGGCCTCAGCCTCAGCCTGCCTCAGCCTCAGCCTGCATCAGCCTCAGCCTCAGCCTCAGCCTGCCTCAGCATCAGCCTGCTTCAGCCTCAGCCTCAGCCTGCCTCAGCCTCAGCCTCAGTCTGCTTCAGCCTCAGCCTCAGTCTGCCTTCAGCCTCGGCCTCAGCCTCAGCCTGCCTCAGCCTCAGCCTGCCTCGGCCGCAGCATCAGCCTGCCTCAGCATTCAAAATGTGGCCCAGGAATGGAGTTTTGGGAACTAGAAGAACACGAAGTGGCCTACAGTTGGCTCCGGGCATTCAAAATCATGCCCAGGAATGGAGTTCTGGGAACTTGAAGAGCACGAAGTGGCCTACAGTTGGCTCCGGCATCCAAAATGTGGCCCGGGAATGGAGTTCTGGGAATCGAAGAGCACGAAGTGGCCTACAGTTGGCTCCGGGCATTCAAAATGTGGCCCGGGAATGGAGTTCTGGGAACTCGAAGAGCACGAAGTGGCCTACAGTTGGCTCCGGGCATTCAAAATGTGGCCCGGGAATGGAGTTCTGGGACTCGAAGACCACGAAGTGGCCTACAGTTGGCTCCGGGCATTCAAAATGTGGCCCGGGAATGGAGTTCTGGGAAGTCGAAGAGCACGAAGTGGCCTACAGTTGGCTCCGGGCATTCAGAATGTGGCCCGGGAATGGAGTTCTGGGAGGTCGAAGAGCACGAAGTGTGTGACTGTTGGCTTAAAACGACTTCTGCGGCACCCTGTCCGGCACCCGCCCAGACCCCCCTGTGGAGTCATCTGCTGCTCTCTTTTGACACCACTAGAAACCTATCAGAACAAGCTGTTAGGTAAAAATCTTGCAGTCTCTCGCGGGGGCGCTCAGGGGACTCTTGGGACCAACTTGGGCGTCCATTGGGGGCCTCTTGGGGGCCTTTTGAAAGCCCTTTGGAAGCCCCTCGGGGGCCTCTTGTCAGCCTCTTGGGCCTCTGGGGTGCTCCGGGTTCCACATTGGCGCCGAGAGCGATCGGCGTGTCGCTCGGGGAGCGCTTGGGGGGTATCTTGGTGGCCTCTTTGGGGCCTCCTCGGGCTCTCTTGGGGCGTCGTGGGCGCCCCTTGGAGGGTTGTGGGCCGTCCTAGGGCCATCTTCGAGTCCTCTTGGAGCGTCTTGGGCACGTGTCGAGCCTCTCCTGAAGCTTTGATGGACGATCTTGGAGACAGCTGGAGGCCCGCAAGACCCGATTGGAACTAAAAAGCCGAGAGAGCCACAAACACTAGAAACACACAATGTTGCTTTACTATCTTAAGCGCTCGGGGGTGTCCTTGGGAAGCCCCAGGGCGACTTCAAATCCATCTTGGGATTTGAAGGATCTTGACCTCCCGTAGACCCCCTTGTGCTGTCTCTAGGCCATCGTAGGCGTTCTTGGCCAGTCCTGAGAGGATCTCCGGGGACACTTCTGCCTTTTGCAGCCTTCGGGGGCCGTCCCCGGCCGTCTTGGACGCCCAGGAGAGCGGTAACAAAACCGTACCTCCGATATTTTGCCCATGTCCCAGAGGCCAGGTCAGGGATGAAGGGAACCCTGGCATCTCGTCTACACATGCAAATAGAATGAAGAATCGATCAACCGATCCGCCACTGTGCCTTCGGCACGTAGTGGAGTGCCCCAAGGCCCATGCAGCTCTGTGAGGTGAAGGGCTTGTGGTTATGAAGGGGTCTTAGCGGCACGGGTCCCCGGTTTCCCAGGAACTCCCGGGCGCTGCTGCACCCTCGCGGGGTGTCGCCAGAGCATTTGGGACGCTAAGAGAGCCCCAAGAGAAGCCAAGAGGATCCCAAGAAGCCCCACAGACGGCCGCAGAGGGTCCGTAGTCGTCAATCCATCGGTCCGAACCACCCAAGATAGCCGCCAAGACGGCCGAAGATGCACCCAAGACGCCCCAAGAGGCCCCCAAGAGGCCTCACGAAAGGTCTCCAAGATGCAGAGATATCATTGATGTTTCTTTGTTTCGACCGATGGTTGCGTTCTTGTCTTTTCGGCTTCACGACGCTCCCAGATTGCCAAAAAGCGCTCAAAACCGCTCCAAAACGGCCCAAGAGGCGTCCAAGAGTGCCACATAACGGCCCAAAAAAGCGTCAAGACGGGCCAAGAGGTCTCCGAGACAGCCAAAGCGCCCCTAAGACAGCTCCAAGAGAGAGGCTAGACGGGGAACCCAACCAAACAATTCGAGCAATCGGCCCCCAGAACCCCCCAGGCGGCCCCAAGACGCCACAAAGGGTCACCAGAGAGGCCTCCCAAGAAATCTTCACGAGCATCTGGGAGGCCTCCGACTTACAACCCACGAGCGTACTGGGATGGGCCGACAGCCACTACATATTCTGCCAATCGTGGATAGCGAAGGCGGTGGAGAACGGGAACATGCACACAACCACAAACTCTGGGCGTCCGCGGACGTCGCCTCCGCAAGCGCCGGACCCCCTCCACACAGATCCCCTCCCCGGCGCGGGGAGGGGGCCTGGCGCTGGCGGAGAGGCCAGCCGCGGGCGTCCGCGGAGCGTGTTTTTTTGTTTTCCGCCCTCCTGCTAGAGATCGTCCTCCTGCTGGATCTAGATATAGGGCTGAACGGGCTGAGCTCACCACCGTCACCGTCACCGCCGGTGCTGACGTATGCCTCCCATGCATCCTGAATTTTCTGCTCGAAGTCCCTCACCTTGTGCCTGGCGGTTGTGATCGCCGTGAAATAGTCGAGCAAGCGCATGTAGTTACCGAGCTTGTGGTCTGTCAGAAACTCGTCGAAGCCGCCCTCCCCGTCGTCTTCGGGCTCCTGCTCTATCCACAAGCCAATCTCGTTCATGTTCACCAGGGTACCAACATGTGAAAAAACGCCCGTCATCGTCAACGAGGGAACGATGTCCTGGTCGTTGATGACGCGGTAACAGCCCTTTATCTGGGTCTCGAAATATCGCTTCCACCTGAAGAGGCGAAGAAGAAACAAGAAAGTGAGGAAGGGAAGGAGGAAGAGGAGGAGGCGGAAGAGGCAAAGAAAAACAACGAACGAACGGAGGAGGACTAGGAGCGAACGAACGAACGAACGAACGATGAGGAGGATGAGGATGAGGAAAAAGAGGAAGAGGAGGAGGAGCAGCAGCAGCATGAGGCTAAGGAGAATGAGGCCATCCTGTTCCTCTTCCTCCTCCTCCTCCTCCTCGAGCAGCAAACGCGGTTTGTCGCGCGGCCGCACAAACCAAATTTCCCCCAGAACGTGGCGACCACGTCGCCCCCCTCCGCGACTCTCTAGGTCTCCTCCACGCCTCTTCCTCCTCCTCCTCCTCCTCCTCATCCTCCTCCTCCTCATCATCCTCCTCCGCCTCCTGGCCCTCCTCGTCCTCCTCTTCCTCCTCCCCCTCCTCTTCCTCCTCCACCTCCTCCACCTCCACCTCCGCATCAGCCTCCGCTTCCGCTTCCTACTCCACCTCCCCCACCCCCTCCTCCCCTTCCCCCTCCTCCCTCCTCCTCCCTCCTCCTCCTCCTCCTCCTCCTCCTCCTCCTCCTGGCCCTCCTGGCCCTCCTGGCCCTCCTCGTCCTCCTCCTGGCCTCCTCCTCCTCTCCTCCTCCTCCTCCTCTTCCTCCTCGACCTCCTCCACCACCTCCACCTCCCATCCGCCTCCGCTTCCGCTTCCTCCTCCACCTCCCCCTCCCCTCCTCCCCTCCCCCTCCTCCTCCTCCGCCTCCTCCTCCTCCTCCTCCTCCTCCTCCTCCTCCTCTCCTCCTCCTCCTCCACCCCATCCTCCTCCACCTCCGCCTCCTCCTTTTCATCCTTCTTCTCCTGCTCCTCGTCCTCCTTTTTCCTCCATCTCCTCATTTGTCCGAGAACTCCTCAAACTGGGCCTGCGGACCCGCCGAGAGGAGCGCGCCGCCGGGGAAGCCCCAGACGAAGCGCAGGCCGCCCTCATTTCCCTTTCCTTATAGATACGAACAAAAACCCTAATAAGGACGCGCGGCAAGGACGCAAGACCCTTGGAGGCCGAAGTTGGGATTTCTGGGGCGGCGGACGACGAAAACCCCAAGGACGCAAGAGCAAGGAAGAGCAAGGACGCAAGGGTACTGAGCAAAGTCGCGCGCCCTTATTAGGGCTTTTGACTGTAACCCCTCCCTGTCGCACCCCGAAGCTGGTCGAAAGGGCGGGCCAGGCGTTTCGCCTGAGATTCCGTCACCGCACATGGCCCTGATCCTCAAAAGGTGATCACAGATTCACGGATGAAGGGCGGGTCGTTTCCAAGGGGCGGACAATCCTTCGTTGGCGTACATGTGCCCGCCATTGGAATTGGCGTGGGTCCTGCAAAAAGAGGGGGGAGAAGGAGGGAGAGTGGGAGGAAGGGAGGGGGAGGGACGAAGGAAGAGGGAAAACGCCAGGAGAGATGGAGCGAAGAGGGGGCGGTTGATAAGAGGCACAGAGAGAGAGAGAGAGCGAGAGAGAGAGAGAGAAACAGACAGATAAGAGAGGTAGAGAAAGAGAGAGAGAGAGGAGAGAAAGAAAGAGGGAGGCATGAGAGGGGAGGGAGAAGGGAGGAGGGAGAGGAGGGAGAGGGGATAGGGCAGAGAGGCATAAAGATGAGGGAAGAGAGGAGGGAGAGAGAACGGAGGAGAGGAGGGAGGAGGGAGGAGGGAGGAGGGAGAGGGAGGAGGAGCAGGAAGGTAAGAGCGTGAACGTTGGAGGAAGTCCTAGGCGAAAGCGCCGTTCCTGAAGGAAGTCTCGGGCGGGAGCCCACGACGGGCGGGCGATCCCCTGACGGGCGGGTCGGGCGGGTGGGACATTCAAGCGGGATGCCTGAGTATGGCGAGAGCGCGATTATTAAGTAAATTGTAACGGCTTCCTTGGCGCAGCGTGTTTCCTGAGCGTCGAAAGCGCGAGTTCTGAGTAAATTGCATGGAAATCAGGGGCGAGAGCGTCATTCCTGCATAAAATATGAAAGGTTCTCTGGCGGGAGAGGGGGTCTTGATTAACTTCCGAGGAAGTCTTGATTCAATTGCGAGGAAGTCTCAAGCGAGAGCACCGTTCCTGCGTAAATTGTGAGGAAGTCTCACATGGGAGCGGGGGTCCTGACTAAATTGCGAGGAAGACATAGGCGGGAGCACCGATCCTGAGTAAATTGTGAGGAAATCTCAGGAGCGGGGTTCTGAGAAAATTTGGAGGAAGTCTCAGGCGGGAGCCGTTGTTGTTGTTGTTGTTGAACATTATTACTTCTAAAGAATAATTATTGTTGGGACCCCTGGTGCGCGACCCCCCATCCAAAACCTAGGCCGCAGCTACATTTTCATCATTTTTTAGCGAAAGCTTCAGAAAAGTGAATTATTACCGGATCCGGTTGTTTTGTTGTACTCCGTTTTCCCTTGCAAAAAACACTATAAAATGAAAATTCTTGTTCTTACTTGATCAAATTGCAAGAATCCCTTGCAAAAAATAAGGTAAAGTGGACATTCGTGCGCGCAAGACGAAATCCTTCCAAAACCTTAGGTTTCGTAGCGATTTTAACATAAAAACATCAAAAACCCAATGGTTTTTTAAGAAAAAATTGTCAAAATGTCCTTCCGCGCGCGCTGTCCGAATCCCACAAAACCAATGGTTTTTCAACATTTATGTTACATGAGCTCGCGCGAGCTACTTTTTCTTGTTCTAACATAATCAAATTTCAATAATCCCTTGCAAAAAATAAGGTAAAGTGGACATTCGCGCGCGCAAGACGAAATCCTTCCAGAACCTTAGGTTTCGTAACGATTTCAACATAAAAACATCAAAAACCCAATGGTTTTTCAAAAAAAAATGTCCAAATTTCATCCCGCGCGCGCTGTCCGACTCCCACAAAACCAATGGTTTTTCAACATTTATGTTACATGAGCTCGCGCGAGCTACTTTTTCTTGTTCTAACATAATCAAATTTCAATACTCCCTTGCAAAAAAAAGTAAAGTGGACATTCGCGCGCGCAAGACCAACAAAAAACACGACGATCTCAGGAACTTGCCCCAAAAATGTGACCAACTCCGCTCTCTCTGTCTCTCTCTCTGTCTGCTCTCTGTCTCTCTCTCTGTCTGTCTGTGTCATGTATTGTATGTCACAATTGCAGGATGCTGGGCACACGCGCGCCCCGAATAAGTGACCAAGTTCTGTGGGTGTGTACCCCACGCCAGTGTAGTAGCCACGGTCGTCCGCACGCCACGAAGTGAAGTGTCCCAACGTCATAGGGCGGGAAGCTGGGTTTGGGTGGTCGCGAAGAGTCGTTTGGATATTTGGTAGAGCTTGAACTGCCCCCCCACGAAGTGGGGGTATTGTCTCGCGTCGCATGAAAACCCTGGCACTGGTGAGAACACTGAGCGTTCGGGTAAAATGATTGTTGAACATTATTACTTCTAAAGAATAATTATTGTTGGGACCCCTGGTGCGCGACCCCCCTCCAAAACCTAGGCCGCAGCTACATTTTCATCATTTTTTAGCGAAAGCTTCAGAAAAGTGAATTATTACCGGATCCGGTTGTTTTGTTGTACTCCGTTTTCCCTTGCAAAAAACACTATAAAATGAAAATTCTTGTTCTTACTTGATCAAATTGCAAGAATCCCTTGCAAAAAATAAGGTAAAGTGGACATTCGTGCGCGCAAGACGAAATCCTTCCAAAACCTTAGGTTTCGTAACGATTTTAACATAAAAACATCAAAAACCCAATGGTTTTTTTAAGAAAAAATTGTCAAAATGTTCTTCCGCGCGCTCTTGCGGATTCGTAGGAAAACCAACACTTTTTAAACAATTCTGTCAAACGGGCTTTTGCGAGCAACTTTTTCGAACTTCTGCGACAACGTTTGCGCACCTGCCAGGGCCATCATCCCTGTCAAATAATACCATGCGGGACATATTCGTTTTTTCTTCGCGCGCGCACGCCGAAATCTCCAAAAATCATTGGGTTTTTAAGAATTTTAGCACCGCGCATCATAAAATCACACGAATCGCACCGTAGCTCTCCTCTGGCTCTCTGTCTTGCTCTCTCTCTCTCTCTCTCTCTCTCTGTCTCTCTGTCTTGCTCTCTCTCTCTCTCTGTCTTGCTCTCATATCATGCGCAACAAATGCACGATGCGGGGCACATGCGGGGCCCAAACAAGTGATTAACCTCTGCGGGTGTGTACTCCACGCCAGTGTAGTATCCACGATCGTCCGCGCGCCACGAAGTGAAGTGTCCTGACGTCATAGGGCGGGAAGCTGGGTGTGGGTGGTTCCCGAGAGTCGTGTGGATGTTTGGTAGAGCTTGCATTGCCCCCCCACGAAGTGGGGGTATTGGCTGGCGTCGCATGAAAACCCTGGCACTGGGGAGAACACTGAGCGTTCGGGTAAAATGATTGTTGTTGTTGTTGTTGTTGTTGTAATCCGGGGGGCCAGGGGCCCAGTTTGAGCACCAAGACTTTCCGTGTCAAAAAACAAGGTGCGAGCGTCGAAGGGCACACTTTGATTGAGAAAAAACAGCATGCACCAGTGAGGGGAGATCAACAATAATTATTCTTTAGAAATGAGGGTTCAACAACAATCATTTTAAGACGGTTCGCTCATGTCCGATCGCGTGCCATGAAATATACATGTCCCAAACCCTGGATACCCGCCCTCCTCGTCTTCGCTCGTACCCCTTTGGGGGCGTATATTCCCTCCCTGCAGTGTGTAGTTGGAAAGGCCACCAAACAAGAAAACGCGGGAGAAATGAGAAAGGGAGATAATGAAAACGAAGGGATCAAAAGGAGGGAGGGATGAGGGATGAGGGATGAGGGATCAACAACAACGACGACAACAACAACAACAGCAGCAATCATTACAATAATTTTCATTAATATCTGCTCGCGTGCCAAGCAATACGTAATCCCAAACCCGGAATACCCGTTCTCTTCGTCTTCGATCGTATCCCCTTAGGGGTATATCTTTCTTAGCTGCAATTTCGCGCAGCCGGTAAGAGAGGGGAAGAGAGGACGGATGGAAGGAAGGGATAAGGGGGAGTGAGGAGGATAGAGCACGAGAGAGAGTGGCGCAGGAGAGGGGCTAGAAGCAGAAAACACTTGGCAGAAACAGACGGGCGGATCGGGCGGGCAGACCATACCGGGCGGGTCGGGAAGGCGTGCCCAGGCGGCCACGTCGAGCAGGTGGGTTGCTGAAGCGTGCGTCATGCATGAATCGCGAGGAGAGCTCGAGCGATAGCGCGATTCCCAAATAATTCGTCAGGAACTCCACAGCGAGAGCGTGATCCCTTAGTGTCGAGGGCGTGACGTCTAAATAGATTGCGAGGCAGTCCCACGCGAGAGCGCGATTCTTATATGAAATCTGCAGAGGTCCCGCGCGAGAGAACGATGTTGGAATAAATGGTGAGGACAGATCGGGCGGAAACCGCTGTTGTTGTAAACCGGGGGCCACGGGCCCAGTCTGGTGACGCCTCACTTCCCCTGGTAAAAAACAGGGTGCGAACCCCAGGAGAAGCACTTTAGAGTAAAACCTGCAATGCTTACCAGAGGGTGGGGATCGAGAACAAATCTTGCCTGGAAAGGAAAACTCAACCACATCGAAGACAACAGCAACAACAACGGCAACAACAACACGGGCCCGAGAGGCGGAGAAGGCGACAGGGGCCACGGGCAGTGGCGGCTTTCATGCGAGAGCGGAAATCTAGTGGCCTTCGAAACATCCCACCACTGCGCCTGGGCCACGCAAAAGCGTCTTGGGGCTTCTTGGAGCCTGCTGGGGACCTCCTGGGATTGTGTTGGAAGGGTTGGCTGAAAGGCGGGACGGCGGTGACGCGCTTTGGGGTCTCCACTTTGGGCCGTCTTGAGGCGCCTCTTGGGCCCCGTTGGGGGCCCATTGGGTAAGATGTATGTTGTTCGTCGTCAGCTGACCACGAGTTACTGCCATGACCCTTGCAGCTTGATGCCTCATTACTGGAGAGCATGAAAACTTCTACATAATGCTCGCGCATGCACGTGAAGAGATGAACACCCGTGTCTGAAAATGCGGCAGGGGCGTCAATTTCGCGCAAGGGTTCTGCCAAACGAAACACTGGTGCCACCTATGGATCACCAGGGTTGGACGAAGCTATGGCACCATTCTCGCGAAGACCATGCATGGAAGACCAACGGGGAAGGATTACCCCAGTGCCAGCATCACTGACGGGGAGAACTGCGACACCAGGCAGCCGAGTAACAGCTTCATGTTCTTGCTCGCTGCCTGAATTGTTGATCGCTCGTAGCAGGCCTTGCTCGCACCTGGGTAGGTCCGTGCACTCGCAATGGTTCAAACCAGCAGGGACTGGAGGGAGGGAAAACGCAAAACGGGGTCAGAAGTGCGGGCGCGGTGGAGAGAGAGAGAGAGAGAGAGAGAGTGAGGTGGGGCGAAGCACGGCGGCGGAGCAATCGCTTGAAATGGCCTGGGTCGACATGCTAGGAGCCGACCTCACAGGCGCGAGGAGCGCACGCTAGCGTTCGGGGATGGACAGACCCCCCTTTAGCAAAACCTGGTTTAGTGAGAACGACCTGAGGCCCAAACCTGGCGGGCGCAAACCTGGAAAATGACTACCGCGGCGCCCTCTCGAGAGCCGAAAACGGACCATTCACGAATCGACGTGTCACTGCTGGGGGTCCTGTCCGCCCCCGAAGCGTGACTCAGACTGAGGCTCCCGTCTGATCAGGAGGCTGCCCACGCAGCATGTTTTTCCGTGTTGCCGGCCGCCCACGCAGGGCAGCCCCGAGCAAAAAAAAAGTCTGGCTGACTGGCCCTGGCCGCTCAGCAGACCTGCTTGTCCGTCTCCAGGGTCACCGTCTTGTCCTTCGCGGCCCCGAGGATATCCACGGCACCGACCTCGTCGAAGAGCGCTTCGTACTGCATGGCCGCGTTGCTCCAAGTGAACTCTGCGGATGCCGCCATCGCGGCTCTCATCATCTCGACCTCCTTCTCGGGAGTGCTCGTGTGGATCTCGCAGGCACGGCGGATTGCCTTGGAGATCGACTCGCTCGAGGCGTCGTCCAGCTCAGCCTCCACCGTCATCTCCGCGTCGGTCCAGAGGCCGTTCACGCCGTCCTCCACAGTGTCCTTCAGGCCGCCAGTGGGAGCGACGATGGGCAGGGTGCCCATGCGCATCGCCTCCATCTGGACCAGGCCGCAGGGCTCCCAACGGGATGGCAGCAGCGTGTACTCGCAGCCGGCGAGAAGGGCGTAGCGCTCCGGACCCATCCAGCCAGCGTAGAAGAACTTCTTCGGGAATTTCTTCTCCACCGCCTTCGTCTGCTGCACAAGGTCGGCGCGGCCGGCGCCCACGATGACCACCTGCATCTCGGTGTCCTCGAGCACCTCTATCAGGCTCTCGAGCAGCAGGTCGTAGCCCTTCTGCGCGTCCAAGCGGCCGATGAAACACATCATGGGGCCAGAGGAGGCGCCCAAGCCGTTCTCCTGCTGATATGCGGCCTTCAGCTGCGCCTTGGCGACGTCGACGGTGGCGGCGGTGAAGGTACCGCAACACATCTTGGTCTTAGTCACGAAGTTTTTGTCCTCGGAGGACACACCCTCCTTCACGCCGTTCAAGATGCCGGTAACCTTGGCCATGGCAAAGAGCCGCTCGAGCTCCACGCCCTTCTCGGGGTCGACGGCGCACTCCGCGGCGTACGAGGGCGACACTGTGAGCGCGCGGTCGCAGTACAGAATGCCCGCCGCCATGGTGTTCACCAGCTTGACCTTCTTGTTGTACTTGCCCACCTTCAGAGGCATCTGGAAGGTGATGCTGTCGATGTACTCCTGCGGCACACCGAAGACCTCTGCCAGGCCAGGCTCCAGCTCGAAGCGGCCCTGGAACACCGCGTTGTGGCACAGGAAGAACGACTTAGTGTTGACCCAGGCGGTCGCGTCCTTCCGCTTCTCGACGTCGATGAACATGGGCACGAGAGAGCTGTGCCAATCGTTGGCCACCACGACCACGTCCTCTCCGTACGGGTAGCCTGCCAGGGGCAGCTCCCGCATGGCCACGAGCGCGCTCTTGCAGAAGTATGCAAAGCGTGACTGGTTGTCGGCGAAATCCTTGCCCCACTCGGGGCCGTACAGCTTGGAGCCAGACATGCCGTTGACGCGTTCCAGGAAGGTAGGATGGTCCACGAAGACGTAGTCAACCTTCTGCTTGAACGTATGGAAGAAATGCACAGGCTCCTGCGCGCCCCCCATCGTAACGGAGCTCCAGAAGCTCGTGTCCCAGGCCTCCTTGTACTGGTCATAACGCGGGCTGATGACCATGCAGCGGTGCCCGAGCGCCGCGAGAGCGGTCGGGAGGCCGTCCATGGCCTCGCCCAGACCGCCGGTCTTGGAGAAAGGCGCGACCTCGCTGGTCACGAAGACGATCTGGTACTTTTTGCTGACGGGCACCGACGGCTTCTTGCCAGAGGTGTTGACGCCGGAGGCGCCAGCAGCCAGCGCGCGACCCACCGCCACCGCCGCGGGCCCCTCCTTCGGCACCTCGGCGCTCTTGGGCACGGCCGCGATGGCCGCTGCGGCCGACTTCGCGTACGCACGCGCAGGACCCGTAGACTCCGAGACTGCACTCGGCTGCACCTCTGAGGCGCAACAATAGGGGGGGACCAGCTCAGGGGGGAACCATCGAGCTGGAATCGTCGATACATCACCTACATGGATCAGCGATGGCTCCCAGCATGCTCCTGCGCAGGTTGGGGATAGCAAGCCCCTATCGGCCTATCGGCGATCCGACGGGCGATTGGGGGTGGGGGTCGTTGCATCCCCCTGTGAGCCAATTCACGTATACAGTGGGAGCTCGACCACAAGAGACCTTCCACAAGAAACCCAACCCTGAGACACCAGGACGTCCATTGATTTTTGGTGTGGGGACGTCGCACTCTCCATCGTAGAACCATCGAAACCCAAGAAACCCAGGGCACCCTGGAGGCAAGCAGGGTACCTCTTGGCATGGGCTTCCACTGTACCAATGCCCCTGAACCTTGGGGTAGCCCGTGCCCGAGACCAGCGCGGGCTCTGGCTTTCCGGTGACCATCTGCAGCACGCTCTTGGGCGCGGAGGCAGCCGCGGCAGAGGAAGGCGGGGCCGCAGCCGAGGCCGCGGCGGAGGCGGGCGGAGCGGACGTGGCCGAAGGCGCTGCGGCGGCCTTGGCCTTGGCCTTGGCCGCCGGCGGTGCCTTGGGCACCTCAGCCTGAGCGCCCGCGCCCTTCGCCATCACTGAGCCCGTGGCCACCATGCGCTCCTGGGAGGTGACCTGACTCTGTCCCTCGGTCACGACAGCGGCGGCCGCCGTGCGTGCCACGGGGCCGGACGCCTTCGCAGGAGCCGCGGCCGTGGCCGCACCGCTGGCCGCAGCGCCTCCAGAGACCAGCGAGGCAGCCTTGCCGCCCTGTGGCACCGCGGCAGGGTCATGGCTGCTGGTGGGCCCGCCCGGGGTGTCTGGGTGGCCCTTCTTCGGCTCCACCGCGGATGGCGCCGGCTTCTCCGACAGCGAGGCGACGGGCCTGGCGGGCGCCTCGAGCTCCGTCTTCCCCTTGGCCGGGGGCGGCTTCGGATGGAGCGGCTGCGGGGCGGGGTCGGCAGGCTTCAGGACCGCCTCTGGGGTGGCAGGCGCCGCCTTGGGCTGATCGCCACGCGGCAGTGGCGTCATGCTGGGCGCCTCCTCCGCCTTCGGCGCCTTCGGGGCAGACTTCCTGGTGAACATGTCTTCGCGGCGGAAGCACACAAGGGCGGGCGATCGCAGATATAGCGACTCCTTGGATCGAGAAATGCCTGGGCCAACTAAAATGACTTGAGCCAAAATGGCTACGGAAGTGCATTTTGGATTACAGTATTGAACTGGTCTTGGGGGCTCCTTGGATGATTTGGGCGTCTTGGACTCGCCCCCCGAGAGGTCCAACATGGCCCGAAGGACCCCCAAGAGCCGCGAAATTATACCAGCTTGGACCCGGGAGGACTCTAACCGGCCTCTGCTGCACCCAAAGATAGCCAAACTGACCCCAAGATCGCCCGAGTTACCGGGAAGGGGTTGGGCAAGGGGGTCAACACCCCTCAGGATCACCCCTCGGGACCCCCCGGACTCAACCTCCCCCTGGGCAGGAAGGCATTTAATTACACCTGAGCCGATTGACACCTCGGGCCGGCGAGCTTGGAGAGCCCTAGGTGGCCGCAGAAAAAGGGGGGGAGAGCTCCCAAAGACAGGGCCCCAGGGTGGCCACAGGGACACGAGAGCCTCGAACGAGAAAACACAGCGCCCATGCCAACAGTGTCGGCGGATTCTTTCTCCCTGAGATCCGCCGTCGCGAAACAGGCCAGGCCCCCCAGAAAACTACGACTGGAGACCTCGACCCGATCCCTGTGCCGAACTGCTCGAGCCGGATTCATGCGCGAGGGCCCCAGGGGTCAGCTCGGGCATGTCCCTCTACAGGCGGAGTTTGGACGACAGAGCATGCCAACAAGTACTCCACAGTGCGGAGAAATAGCCAAAGAGTCGTCCCGAGACCACGTTTCTACGATTTTTGCCTGCTCCTCCTGTCGAGGGACGTGCCCGACCTAACCCCCAGGGCCCCAGGGTCCGAGACCGGGCGGAACGGCCCCGAGTGGAAAAAAGGGCAGCGCCCAGACCTCCCGGCTTGTGACGCCCGGATCTCTGGGCCGGCGCTTGCGACGCCCCATGGTCGCCAGGGCCAGCGGCCACTGCCCGAGGAAGCGCAACACCGCGGCGGCACGGCCGCCGGCGGAAAAGAAGGGGGGAGGAGCCAGGAGGCACCGCGAGGAATCCAGGCGCTCCCCGGGATGCGCTCGAGTGAAGACCAGCGCCGTCTGCGAGGGAGGGGTTCTTCTGAGGCTTGGGGGCCGCAACTCCTCCGGCGGCCGCTCGGGACCATTCTGGCATCCCTGGAGCGCCCTTGGCGAGCGCAGCTGCTGCGAAGAATCCAGAGGCTCGAAAACACCGACGAAAATGCCCGAAAAACCCAAACCTCGAAACTCGAGCTCTTTTTAGACGAAGCCAGCTGGGAACAAATCGGGTGGGGATGAATCGAGAACCTCTGAGATCCGGCGGCTCCGGAGGATGCCTCCCCCGTCGCGGCCTTCTCGGGGCGCTCCAGAACTCTCTGAGAGCGTTTTCGAACGAGCTGGAACTGATTTTTTATCCTCGTCCAGGCCTCGCCCGCCCCCTCGGCCTCAGGCAGGAGAGCCCAGAATCGTATCGATAAGTCGGATCGGCAATCGAAACAAATCGGATCGGAAGACATCGGCAGTCGAAACGGGAAAATGCGAACTCTCGGAAATCGGCAGGCTGGTAGGCCTCCATGGAGAAATCGGAGCCCAACTCGGAAGCCGGATTCGAATCGAATCGAAACTTGAAGCCATCTGAATCGAATCGAATCGGAGGAATCGAGACGAGCCCCGCCCGCCCCCTCCGCCCCAGGTCGCCCACGACGGCGCCGCCGAACGTGTACACCTCGACGGGGAGGTCCGGGAAGGTCTCCCGCAGCCGCAGCGCGCAGAGGGTGGCGACGCCGCCGCCGAGGGAGTGGCCCGTGCAGAGGACCTCTAAGCGGGCTCGAGCTTATCCATATCCCTCGAGTACGTAAGGGATCGACTACATAATCGATTTACCCAAAATTGATTTCCCGTCGAATATACAAAGCATACCAGAAGTGCTCCGTAGATCTACTGACTACTCTAAGTGTTCATCTCATGGGTTCGGCGAGGAAATCAAATTTGGGGTAAATCAGTATGTAGTCGATCCTCTACTCGAATCCCTACGATGGGCAAGCCACATGCGATGGCAGTACTCCCAGAAACCGAGGGAATCCGTGAGATCGGCATCGAGAGGAGGCGATGCCAAGCATAGGGACAGGGATGTGTCTCAGGCTCGTAAGACCTGCCAGGGCGCCAGGCAACAGCAGCGGCGGCGGCAGCGACGCCGACGACGACGACGACGACGACGACGACGACGACGACGACCTGGCGGCGGCGGCGGCGGCGGCGACAGACATCGGCGGGGTCGGCCCCGAGAATTTTCCCCAAGGAGGCTTCGCCCTAGGGGGTTCTTCGCTGTCCGTGCGAGCAGCGCCAAAGGAAAGCCAGGCAGTGCCGAGCAGTGCCGAGTGGTGCCGCGTCACGCACCAGTGCCCTGCATTGCCGTTCTCTGCGCTTCTCCGACCCTGCGATGAATTTCCTTGGAAACGAGGAGACCGCTGATTCGACGAGCGAACAGCATTCGAGGCTGGCATTTATCCATTTCCGCCGCCTGGGAACCGACGTCATGGTGCCCCAGCGGGCGGTGGATAGAAATAGATTTTGGCCCTCGGGGGCCCCCATATATCCTTATCCACCGCCTGTGGAGGTCCGCGAAAATCGATGCCCCAGGCGGTGGTTATGGATACATCCCCGCCTCGGACAACACACACACACACACATTACCTTGGCAGAGAGGGCCCAAAGACAGGACAAGCGTGAAACGGGCAACTGTGGAACCGACATGACGTCAGCGTCTTGCCTCCGGGGATGGGGGGGCCCTGCAGGGGAGCTGCGTCCATAGCCGCTTGTGTTCGAGCAGCAGAGGCGGGGAGGGGAAGGTGCTCGACCCTTCGGGGCACGGCCTGGAGCGAATTGCGCTCGCTGCATTCGAGGTGTGAGAGAAATCGCTCTCGTCGCATCGCTTCTCGAGACACGATCCATCTGTTCGGAGACCAGCCTACGTATCGGCCCGTGCAGCACTGCGTCTGGCTATTTTGTCTCGCGCATCGGCAGCATCTCCGAGTTGGTGTATCAGGCGGCAGGCGTATTCATGTTCTGCATATTTACGTGTGCGGCGCATGGTGGCGTGCCGGCAGCAGATTAGCGGCTACTACGCTGGTACATGTCGTGGAAGGACAGCCCCCCACGGAAGAAAGGGGATCGATTGTCTTGGCCATACCCTTCCTCCAAGTCCTCGGCGGTCACAGCCGAGATTCAGCAGACACGAGGCGATTTGGTGGTTCCAGATGCTGATGCTCTCGAACGCGTGCGACTGTAGGCGTGGGCGCAGGCGGCAGACGCGAAGATCCAGGGCATCGCGCAATCCTTGGCCATTGCGGTCCATGCCCTCATCCCGCTCACATGTGCATGAGGGACGGACAATAGGATCAAAGAGTTTATGGTGGTCGAGCTCATGGTCTCGCTCGCTGCGGCGCACCTTCGTGCTGCATACCGGCGCGGGCTGTTTCCCAAATGGCTGATTCGAGTTGCGAGATGTATGGCACCAGGGACGTTCCAGGAGTTGACGATATCAGGATCTTCGCGACTCGCAAAAGAAGCGTTATGTGCAGAATCGTCGTGTGTTGGGATCAGTCAATGTCATGCCAATTCTCGCGATAGAGTCGATGACGCGCGTGACAGCCGTGGAGAGCACACTCATTGCCACGGAGTCCCCGGACCTGAACATCACCGAGATGAGGGAGGAGATGCAGCGGCGAGGTCGTGGTCTGAAGCTTCCAGTTCGACGCGTACCTCGCCTAAAACCTCCTCCTCGCTTTCGGCGGCCTGGGAAAGGGGGCGGCCAGCAGCAATCGGTCCAACTTCTGGATGGCTCGAAGGCTTGGGCACGTATCATATGCTTCACGACCGCGATTTCATTAAATTCATGATTCGTGCGCAGGTGGCGTCCACAGAGGAGTATGGTCCGCTCTGGTTGCTTGCATGGGAGAATCGACAGTTGTTCGCAACATGGCTGGCGAAAAGGCTTCCGAAGTTTCGCTTACCTTGGTCATAGAGGCCCTGGGAGATTGCCAAGTACCTCTACGGCGTGCTCTTGGATTTGGATTTGCTGGTGAGTCTGGCGTCTCGCAAGATCTACTTCAAGGAGAACCTCGAGACGCTGCCCAGGCGCCACCGGCTCCCGAGCAGGGCCCCGAGGCCGTTGCTGGTGCCTCCGGAGCTCATGCGCTACAGGAAGGTGCTCAGGAAGTCAATCGTGGGGGCCCTGAATCACATTCGCTGCGCACCAGCACGGGTATGGCTACAGTCGCACCTGACGAACCAACCATCGGGCCCCAGGACGTGGAAGGGCCGGGCAAACAGCAATGCTCGCCTGCGGAACTTCGACATGGATAGCCTTCCGAGTGACGTGGCGGGACTCGGGAGGGCTAGTCAAGTGCCCAGCTCACGAGCAGTTGATGGTGCATGGCGACTTCCAGAGGTGCCGAAAACTAGGGAGGTCGAGAAGCAGCTGTCGAAGCATGGCACTCGTGGGCTTCTCGTCTTCGGGTTCATGCACGTTTTCATGGTGTTGGGCGCGATCGGCTACGTAATTTCGCGAAGTGTTTCCGCTGAATGGGAAGCTCTGGAGCAGCCCCTGATAGCAGCCACCATAGAGAAAGAAGTTTCTGATGAGTGATGATCGGAGTTCGACTCTAATGTGGTTGGTGGAGCCCGTTGAAGCGTTCTTCTAATTGTTGTCCGCTTTACTGAAAGATATGGAGGTGTGGCAACGCTCGATGTTATCGCTATCGCAAAATCATCAGATTATTCTAGCAAGGGTGCTATACGGCTTGCTGTAGAGGCACCACCCAGATTCAGATTCGACCTCGCCATCCCTGGGGGGGGCTAGGACAAAACCTTCCTCGGAAAGGTTGTTTGTGAGATCTTTGGAAGAATCCTCTTAAAAACCTTCCAACATAACTTCTCGAGGAAGAGGGCTCCTCCTAGAAACCTTCCTAAAACCTTCCTCAGGAAGGTTTTAGGAATGTGTTTGGAGGAATCCTTCGAACAGCCATCATAAAACCTTCCTAAGGAAGGGTCGTGGAAGGTGATTCGAATCATCCTCCTAAAAACCTTCCTAAAACCTTCCTCGGTAAGGCTGTGTGAGATGTTTCTGGAGGAATCGTTTTCAAAAAAACGTCCAAAAACCGTCCTCAGGAAGATTTCAGGAGGGGGTGGCCGAACTGCCGCACCCAACTGGCCCCCGATAGGCCCCCCAAGTAACCCAACGCGGCCCGCCTACAGTACGGTGTTGGGATTGCCAGATGGACGCACGGCGCCAACACGCTTCTACGACAACCCCCTCCTGAAGAGTGGCATAGAGGGCTCCCAAGGGAGTCGGCGGCCTGGAGTATGCCAACGAGTCTGGATCATGCTTGGGCGCGCCACGATCACTTTGCTTTGCTTAGTTTGACAGGGGCGCCGAGGAGATCAACATCTTGCCCCAGGCGTGCAGGCCACCACTCCCAACCAAGAAGTCCAAAGTGCACGCTGCGGTAAAATCGTGGACCATGAGCGGGCGCCCTTCGATCAGCCTGCACTGTTTCGCGAGAGAGGGATGATGGGGGCGTCCTGGCACGCGCGGCGCACCACCTCGCGGGCGTCGCGCACCTGGCTGTCGAGTGTGAGTCTGAGTATGAATTAGTATGAGTGTGAGTGCTCTGTGTATACGATATCTGAGGAGGAAGAAGGCGGGAGGAGTGAGGCGGGGAGGTCCCATTCCAAACGAGAACCCCCGAAACAGGCCCCACCGAAAGCACATAAAGTGCAATGCCAGAAGAACACACTCACCGAGACCTGCTCGAAGGCACCAGCAGGAGGGGCAGGAGGGAGTAGGGAGACCAAGGATGAGGAAGAAGGCGAGGGGGAGGAGATGGGAGGAGGAGGAGGGAGGGGGAGGAGGGATTATTGAACCCGCCATAGGCGAGAGGGCGCCTAAACCCAGGGAGACGTTCCTGGACTGTTCTTCTCTAGGCTTGAGTGTGCCTAAACCCACGGTGGGCCTTTCAGCGTCGGCAGGCTGAATACGTCCATCATCAGACGATGGTCACCCGTTATCGCCCAACCGTTGACAGTGGTGTGGCAAGATGGGATTGGGGAGGAGGGAGGAAGGAGGAAGACGAGGAGGGGTGTGAGTTGGAGCGATCCCCAGAAGCCCCACTGCGGCCGCACTGAGGTACCTTCTTGCAGACACCAGAGGCCACCAGGCTCCTCACCGCGTCCAAGACGGCCTCCTCCACCGACTGCCAAGCCTCGAACATCGCGCTGTGCACGCGTCCGAGGTCCTCGCCGTTGGGCCCCTGCGGCCAGCTCTGCCGCCTGCAGCGCATCGACGTGAAGATGTCCTGGCGGGAGGCCCCGCTCGGCATCGTAAGAAGAGCACGCAGGCAAGTCTTCGGCCCCTTGGGGGGCTCTCACCGGGCCCCGGGGCCGAACACAAGAGCGACCCAGGATTAAAAAAACGGCCGTGGGTAGTGAGGAGGAGGGAAGCCTTAACCAGACCAACGATGAAGGCCCGATGTAGGCCTGGTCGAGACGAGGGAAAAAACGGGGCGAGGATATATCGAGAATACATACGATCTGGCGGCTCTGGAGGATGTCTCGGGCGCCGCAGCCTTCCCAGCGCGTTCCAGAACGCTCTGGGAGCTCTGAGAGAATTCCAGAACGCTCTGGAACGGATAACATTCGTCCCAGCCCAGTCCGGCATGACCTCGAGGCAAAAGTCTGTGTAACAAACCCTGGGGGAACTTCCTCCTCCTCCTCCTCCTCCTCCTCCTCCTCCTCCTCCTCCTCGGCCTGGTCAGGACCCCCTGTCCCGATCAGGGAGTCGGGCGCACGCGAACTTGCGCTACGGATCCGGGGGGATCTGGCGCGCGGGCGCCGGATCCACGGCTCGGGGAGTGCGCCCCCAGAACTGAAGGGGCCCAAGGACACACAAAGAAATGCACACACAAATGACAGATGTCCCATACGTTCCCATAGCTTCTGGGTTCTTGCCTTCTCCCCCACTCCCCATATTTTCCCACATCTTCTAGGGAATCGACGATCAATTGTGTCTCTCTGGGTGTGTGTGTTCCTTTCCCTCCTGACGAGCACGAGCCCAGCGCCGCCCGATTCGGCGACGGAGCGCGCCGATGTGTTGCACGGGCGCGGGACGCGCCGCCGATCCGCGCGCCCTTGCAGGGGGCGTCCAGGACAGGGGCGCCCACCTCCTCCTCCTCCTCCTCCTCCTCCTCCTCCTCCTCCTCCTCCTCCTCCCCCTCCTCCTCCTCCACCTCCTCCTCCTTCTCGTCCTCCTCCTCCTCCTCCTCCTCCTCCTCCCTCCTGCCCGCAAATCGTGGCCCGAGGCACGTGCGCGGACGCGGAAGGGACCAGGGGGACGTACAGAAACAGCACGACGGGTCATGAAAGCCGGGGAGATGCCGTGGCATTGGCCATGCTGTCCCCCCTCAGCCATCACCCGGCGCAACAGGCAGGGCGCCGTTGCTTCGGCCACAACGTGAAGGGGCCGCATTCAGTAAGCACTGCGAACCCACGTGGCAGTGGCTAAGTGCTCGTGCGCGATTCGTACTCAGCATTTTGCTTGCTTGCTGGCCATCACCCCCCTCTTGGCCGCCCCCGAAGCCGAAGCAATGCTTGCACCTCCTCGAGAGACGCCCATGGCCCCGCCGTAAACAGCAGGGGTGCGCCCCTGCGCCACCGCCTCCCCGCGGCGCACGCGGGGCGGGAGAAGAGCGGAGCAGAGCCGAGCAGCACACGTGGTCCAACGAAGTGCACCTGACATATTCTTATGCCCCGCACAAGACCCGCGGGTGCCACAGCAGCGTCGCGAATCAAAAGGTCGCTGGACAAACCAACAACGCCGCAGAAGCCGACCTGCACTAGGCAAACTCATGCTGTGAACCGCGGCCCGAACGGCTTTTCGACAATGCGGAGCCGCACCGCACTAGTGGACCGAGGAAGTGCAGTTGACGGAATGCGAAGGCCAGAAGCCCAAAAAAACATCAGAAAGACACGCTTGAGAGCCGCTCAAGGGTCGAGTAGGGGGAGGTCGACCAGAGAATCGACCTGCCCCACAATTGACTGACGCTGAACCTGCAAAACGACACGTAGCACGTTCACGGATCTACGGGACACTCGACGCACTTGCTGCAGACTCGACCAACAAAAAACTAGTTTGGGGCAGATCGATCCTGTGGCACGGCAGCTCGGCCAGGGACCCCGATCCGATCAGGGACGGGGCCACGCACGCGCTGGCAACGTTCTGCCAGCTCTGACCGGGCCTTGGACCGCGGATGTCAAGACAAAAAAATCGGTTACGGTCGACCCGTGTCAGAGGGACGCGCGGTAAGGATGCAAGGGCCTCGGAAGGCCATGCCAGCACCTTGCAGGCCTTTTGCTGTAGGCAAATCCCAACACGGACTCGAGAATGGGCCGGGCAGGAAGAGAAAGGCAAGCCGAGGGAAGACGCGGCCTCATAGAATGAAGCACCAGTACCCCCAGATGTCGAGCCCGGCTCTGGGACCTTTCGCATGAATCCCACAAGGGTGGAGCTGCGCGGCCAGCGAGTGGCCAAGGGATGGACCAGGGAGGGAAGGATGCAGGGGCAGCCTCGGAGAGGATGCCCATCCTTCTGATGCGGGCCGGCTGCATGTGGCCGATACCCCACTCGATAACAGAAGAGTTGGGTCGGGCATGTCCCCCTACAGGCGGATCTTCGACGAAGAATTGAAAGTACCCAAAAAAACATCCAAGCGCACTCAAAAATGCTAGAAAAACCGTGCCCAGACTATCTTGCACAACTTTTGAACATTCCTCCTGTAGGGGGACATGCCCGACTTAACAGAAGAGACCAGCGGGCCAGGAGCCTGCGAGCCGCCCGAGGGGCACGACAGTCTCCGGGGCCCTGCGCGGGGCCGCTCCTTGCCAGGCGAGGCCCCCCACAGAGGAGGCACCTTCTGGGGGCACGCCTCGCGGGAGGAGGAGGAGGAGGAGGAGACAAGACAAGACAAGACAAGAAACCCTCGGATCCATAGGGCGCACCATGACTGCAAGCACACATTCAAACATGCAAACAGCGCGCAAATGAACAAATGACTGGATCTGGGTGGCCTTGAGTGGCGAACTGCTTGCCCGCCCTGCAGGTGGGGGACACTCGGGCCAAAGCCTCGCCCAGGCGGTGATGACCGCTCGAGGGGTGGCCTGGCACTGTCTTCCCGTCCATCAGGGGGAAGCTCAAAAATCATATTAGGAGGTGAAACCGACCCCCAGGACAAGCTAGGTTCTGGGACCCTGGGAAGGAGGAGCGAGAGTCAAGGCGGAGGAGGAAGAGGGCCCCGAAGGCCCCGCACGCTTGGTTCTAGCACGTCCTGGGGGTTTAGCTTTTGGTTGCGCAACAAAAACCCTACCCCTGTCCTGAAAAATTCCTCGGAGCAGAAAACGATCCTCGTCCCTGGTCTTCTCAAGCGAGAAACTCTTCGGCCCCTCGCTGCTGGAGCCTAAAACTGGCAGCTCTAGATCCCTACGAGCCTGCAGTTCCAAGAAGCGGCGACTACCCACGAATGCTGGCGGAACGGCGGCGCTAGCCCTACTCTTGGATTCACGGTACCCCCACCCACAGGACGAGGCGCTTCAGCAGCTCTCATTTTTGAAACCGCTCCAACAATCGGGCCGCATCCCGTCCAGAGATCCTTTCGGTGCACCCCCATGTTTGCGCACTCCCCCATTCACCTTCAGATAAGCTTCGATCGCCTCCTCCAAACACCGATGCTTCACGTCGACGTCGAGAGTGCTCCGAAACAGCTCTGGCTTGTTCTCGACCTTTTTTTTGCGGGGCGGATGCGACGGGCACGAACTTCGTCGGCTAACTCGATCACCAGCTTTTTCATCACAACGGACGTCCAGTAATCCTCGAGCGTCTTCTTTGCCTCTGCTGGACAGTTCGGGTCCGCGCCCATCCCGCGGGCGAATGCACTCCATACGCGCAGAACTGGGGGGCCCAGATCCTCCTTCATGCCTGCCACCGACTCCTTCATCTGCTGAACTTGGTTGTGGTAGGCCACTCCCGCGGCCCTGGCTGCGCGCACTGCTGGGCTCGTCACGGGGATCAGCCACGCCTGGGAAACTAACCCGCACACCTCGCGCGGCTCCGCTGCACTGCTCAACGCGAGCTTGGTCAAAATGACGATGAATTGCTCGAGAATCACCTGCTTGCCACCGCCTTTGGCAGACTGTGAAACTTGCTCCACCAGCCCCTCGGCTGCGTCCCCAACGCGCCCTTTCTTCTGCCTCGGCCCCTCGCCCGCGATCATCCAAGCGGGCCCCACGCCCATGGCTTGGAGGAAGCCGGGAAACGTTCTCAGGATGCGCGCAAAGGTGCTCTTGCAAATGCTCGAACAATCCAGCAACATACGGACACAATGGGCATGCTAGAGATGACGGCAAACGAATTTCACAAAGATTACGTGTCGCATCGGCAGCACACTCTCCTCGTCTGAGACTCTGCGAAAGATGGCGGCGACAACTTTCACGATGTGCAAATACTATACCACCGTCACAACATTGGCTCGACGCGGACATGACGTGCGCAAGCTCTTGAAACCCGCGATGCGCTTTGATATGCGCGCGCACCGCGCGTCGATCTCGCAATATGCGACCGCAGACCTCCCCCGATGGGACCCAGGAGAGAACACCGATTAGCACCCTCACAGACATCATCCTGCAGCATCCCTGGAACTTCCTCAGCGTCCAGAAACTCTCCAGGTGGAACCTGCACCACAAGCACTCGCGATCGAAGTTATCAGGGGGTCGATCCTGCAAAACTCCTCGCTATACTCGGGATCAGACAAGGCAAGAAAAACTCGATCTTCCATTCGTTCAAGAAGAGACGCGCCCTCATCCAAATCAGCAAGGGCACGAACATCAGCAAGAAATTGGCGAGCCCACGGCGAGGCCCATCTCGTCAACCTACCCTCAGGCGACAGTGCTGGGTGAGCAACTTCGAAATGCTCAAAGAGAGCAGTGAGGACCTGTTGATTGGCCATCGGTGCGCGCGACAGAGACTGCCAGCAACGCAAGCGACGGATAACAAGCTCCGTATCCAACGGAACAAGTCGCCACCAGCGTAACACCGCAGCAGAGGTCATCGACTTCGGGTGCCCTGGAGCCTCTCGAAGACACGCCCTCCCACCCATCGCCCGTCGAACATACCCTGCAACCATATTGTTCAGCTTAAGATGAATCCTGCGGACTTGGCGTAAAGCCCCCGAGACCAGACAGCGCAACATGGTAGATCTGTGCGATAAATATACATCGGCGAAGCCGGTGAGGAATACCAGAGCCACTCCAGTAGCCTCCCAGAGAGTACCAGGCTCGATGCAAAGCTTTTTCCCGAGACTTCAGTTCTGGCCCAAATCCAGACGCCTTCGAACTCATAAAACCCGAGACTCTTAATTCCCAACGAAGCCGTACCTGGGAACGTAATGAGACCATCCCGAACCCCCCGAAGACCCGCGGCAGCTCCAGGACCTCGGAGGGACGACAGGGCATCCTGCTTAATTCTACTCTGCGTAAATCCACGCGGCTGTAGGGTAGCATCCAGCTCCCGATTGGATATCACGCTCTTGTTGACTAAGGTCATAGCATTCTGACCAGCAAGCTTCTTCGCCAAATCGTCGGCATACTTAGTTAGAGAGAGATCCACAGCCTGGCGAGTATCAGGACAGCGCGGACGCATCAGAGCGTCGAGCGGACCCCACTGCTGCTGGAGATCGCTCCACTGGCTCACTGGTGGCAAAAAGGCCAGAACGAACGTGTCCACGGCAAATCTCCCCCCACACACACACACACACACACACACACACACACACACACACACACACACCACCCCACCCCACCCCACCCCACCCCACACCCCACCCCACCCCCCCACCCCACCCCACCCCCCCCACCCCCCACCCCACCCCCCCATCAGTCCTCCACAACCTGGCTTTAAGATCACATCCCCGTCGCTCCCCTTGAAAATCGCCATCGCACAATCCATGCGCTGCATACCATATCCCCTATCCTGTTCACGAAAAAGATCAGACGCTGCAGCTCGCATGCACTGCCTACCACTAGATGCAAAAGCATTCGTGAGGTCGCGGGCGTTCGTGATGTAGGAGAGACCACGCTGCCCCAACCACCAGCCCGTCGTATTTTGCACGATCAAAGCCCCCTCCCGCCTCCTATGCTGCACGAACCCGCGGTCCTGAACCGAGGCCTGAAGGGGCCCTTTTTGTCGCATAAGCCCAACCACCCACGCCTTCCCGAGCGGATCAAGCAGATGGATCCACCTCGACTTTCCGTCGGGTCGCGTAAGTGGCACCCCACGAATCACATGCCAGCGTAGAGGCGCACAGTGACAGCGGCGCACAAGCGACAGAGCACGCAACGGCAGCTCTTGCCCAAAACTCATATCTGGAACGGGCTGCAACATCCCAAGACCTTCCCCTTGATGAGACCAGGCTTCCCCAGGATGTAGCAACATCCACCAACGCTCCAAGGAGGGGGGAGGGGGGGGGGGGGGCACCATTCGGGAACAGCACGCCGCTGTCCTTCTTTAATGGTGGCAAACTTCAGAAACCTCTAGTCACTCTCGGCCTAGGAGATTTCTGCATCGGAAAAAAGCTGCCCTCGAACTCTTCTCAAAGCTTCCTCCTTCCAGACGTCCCGCGGCTCGACCACCTGGCTCTCCATCCCCCCGCATGCCCGTTCTTCGAAAACTGGGCCACTAAACTTGATATATCTTCCACCACTCCTCGAACTGCTTGATAACCTCGCCTCTTTGGGCCCCACCGAGACCCTACAAGTCGCCTAGCAAGCCTCGAGGCCACAGCCAGCGAGCTCGCCAGTGACCCTGAAGCTCCGCAACTAGATCCTGCTGCACGCGCATCTGCTCCTGTCGGCGCTGTGCACGATTACGCTTTGACAAATCCCGCAACCGCGCAGCAAGCCCCCCCCCCCCCCTGCTCCTCTGGAGTTGTTCCTTCAAGCCCCCGACGAAGACGGAGTCGCTCAGCCAGTAGTGCCTCGCACTTTTGTCGAAAAAAAGACGCTTGTCGCTCATGAAAAAAAGCCTCAGTGGAGGTCTCCTGGCCAACCTCAATCAAAATCTTATCCATACGATCGAAAAAAGAGTCAGCCGTCGCCGCGTTCAAATCCTCTGCCAGCGAAACTCCTTCAGCATGTAACCGACAGTCAAGGGCTTCCAGAAACTCACGCCGACGAGTACCACCCCGCACACATCTCATAATCAAATCGAAGTTCCAGTGTGGCCTCTTTCTGCTCTTCCTCCTTGCCAGCAGGCGCCAGCATGTACGGGACCCTCGCGTGAACCACCATATGATCACAAGGCTTATTAGGTCTTTGGAATAATCTGAAGATCGCGACTAAGTCCTCTCAGGTGTCCTGCCGCCTTCATCACCTGCACCAGCGGCCGAGGCAGACATACATAGTCGATCCGCGACGAGTGGCCCGTGGTCGAGTAGATGGTGGGTGCATACCCCCTGAAGGTGTTAGCCGCCTGCATAGCACTCTCTGCCAGGATGGGGCCCATCAGCGCGCGCGTTGTATGCCTGAGAAGCATTCCCGCCCGGCACAGCATTCAACTTATCATGAGCCCATATACCACTTCCATCTCTGATTCGGCCGAGCCCATCATTAAGATCACAACAAAAAATCGGCGTCATTCTCGACGGCAAGGACGCAAGACAGTTCGCAATCCAGGCCGCCAAGCGGCCACACGTAGTATGATAACATTCCTGAGCAGCAATCTCCCTCGGCCGCGGCGGAAAATAAGCGGCAACCATAATCACATCCAATAGGCCACTCTTCGCACGAACCAACAGTCCTCGTCCACGAATAGATTCAAGAGCAGGTATTGCTTGAACGATGTGCTCGGCCTTAACCTTCCTGCCCCAGAGAATACTACAACCATACGCGTTGGACACATACGGGGAGGTCACATAGCCAGCCCCGATGCACAATCTCTGAGTACTCTGCTTCTCCCCAGCGTTGATCATCCGCCTTCTAACTGTCGTGCCCGTGGTTGCCTTCTGCTTGGTCCCGATGATTGCCACAGCATCGAAATTTGCCATCCTTCTAGCGATGTCCTCAACCCTGTCAAGTGTATTGGCAGATAAGGGGTTATAACTCCAAACTCTGAAATCAAACATCCCAATTCGACACAACAGCCAGCAGCGGAGAAACATCAGAGAATCCACGTGAAAAAATGGGGTAAGGGTAAGTGTAGCTACATTATCGGACGCGCCCCGCGGCTGTGCACCTGTGCCCAGGGGCTGGAGGAGGAGGAGGAGGAGGAGGAGAGGAGAGAGGAGGAGAGGAGGGGGGGGGGGGGGGGGGGGAGGGGGAGGGGGGAGGGGGGGGAGGGGGAGGGAAGGAGGAGAGGGAAGGAGGGTTCTGGGTAGTCGGCGGCGAGCGAGGGAGGGAAGTGACAAGGAGGGGGCCTTCTCAGAAGGCGGCGGGACTTCTAAGAAGACCTCAGGCATCCTGAGAAGTGTTATGTGTCTTCGGGAAAGGCTTCGACAACTTCTAATAAGGCCGGAGGTCTTACCATTGCTATCTGAGACGGAGGGGGCAGCGGGTGGAAGACGCGGGGCGCTCTCTTCAAAACGACAACCCAACAACAAGTTGGTTGGAAATAAAAACGCCCGAGACGGAGAAATGGACGATCACCACAAAGATGCATGAGTAGCTGGAGGAAGAGTGGTCAAGCTTGGGCAAGTAAAGAACGACAATGAGATCACAGCAGAAGAAGCTGTCTACCTGGGCGGGAGTGCTCTTCTGAAGCCTTAGGTGAAGACAATGGGCACTGCGCGCATCGAGTCAGGCAAGAGGGCGACCAGTTCACTGAAGTATACAATAAGGAGGAGCACTGCGCCGATTGTTTGGGACGATGTCTGAGGCTGGACGCAGACGAGAGCAGGGGCTACAATTAGGTCGGGCATGTCCCCATACAGGCGGATTTCGGACGAACAACAAAAAAATTGCAAGAAATGCCCAAAAACATATTCAAAAATACTCGAAAACTCGTCCCAAAACTATGTTTAAACATTTTTGACTATTCCTCCTGTATGGGAACGTGCCCGACTTCATAGTATGCTAGCTTGTCATCGAATTGCTGCGCATCATTTTAGCAACGCTTCTCTTTCCTGTATGAAGGTTAGGCCAGTGGAGAGGTGAGAGAGGGGGCGGCGGTAATCATAAGGACCTCTGCTGCTTGCTCTCGATCGCTCGTACTTGTTGCATCCCTCTCGCCCGTAATGATCTGATCTGGCTCGAGCCGTGCGGGAGGGCGGACGCACTTATTCACGACCGTGCTGTGAATGCGGACGATCAAAAGATGAATCCTTTTTGCAACTAGGGAGGGGGGTATCATTTACAGCATAGGGAGGGGATGCGACAGGGAGGCAGGGAGGAGGGGGGGGGGGGGCGGGATGAGGGGAAGAACGAGAAGGGAGGATGATGTCCTGCATGGAGCTGCCCTCGGTCCCGCGGAAGGATATCACCAGGGTCTTGCGGCCCTCCCGGAGCGTGAGGAGGGCCTGGGAGTCTGTCAAGCTGCTCTTTCGCCCCTCCCGCTTCTCCCACCCACCCACCCTGCCTGGCCTGTACGGCAGGTTCGTGTCGTGCCGACCCTGGCGCTGGTTCCTGACTTCGCGGGGATCGTTCAACCCTGGAACGATCAGCTATCTCCAAAACGTCAGATCGTTCAGCATCGATCGACTCTGGGTCGCCGGCGGCGTTCCACTTTGAACGCCGGCGGCGGGGCCCGGGGCCGCCGCTGGTCTCTACACGACGCGAGCCTACCGTACCGTCCGTGAGTGCCTGTGCGCGGGGGTCCCTCCCTGGCCTGCAGGGGCCGGGCACGGGCAACCTGGTTTGAGCAGGGACCGACCGTCCCAGCATTCCTGTAGTCCTACCACGACATGTTCTTAGAACCCAAAAATGTTCTAAGAACAAAAGCAACGTTCTCAGAACATAGACCCGATGTGCGAAAACAAAACAGACTCCGCCAGAAATGTTCTAAGAACATCTCGCGGAAACCGCAAAAAGGTTCTTAGAACACTGTTCGGTAGGGCTATAGGCGAGCCAGGACGCTTCGCCACGGATGCGGGGGGGGCCTGCGGATGGGGGCCCGGCCGGCCCCCGGAGCCCCGGCGCGGCACGCGGCGCCGCACCCCGGCAGCCCGAGCCGCGCGGGCAGGCCGCAGGCGCGGGGCAACGCAGGGAGGCCGCGGGCGCGAGGGGGCGCGCCCCGCGGGCGCCGGGCACGCGCGGCCAGGGGGCAGGCAGTGACAGACAGGCGGCCCGTGTGATCGCAGGGGCCCCAGGACGCACGAATAGATACACACAGATACAAAGATTCCCCATATATGTTCCCATCTTTTCGGTGCTTTTGTCTTCCCCCACACTTCCCATATCTTACCATGTGTTCCTGGGAATCGACGATTCATTGTGTCTGTGTGTCTTTTCCTCTCCTGAGTGATGAGGGCGCGCGGTAGGCGTGCCAGGGCCTCGGAGGCCCCTGTTAAAGCGCTGTTCGGACGAGGTTGGCCGGCGAGAGTCGCTAAGGATGGGCCGAGGGGGCGCGGCGAGGGTGCAAGGGTACCGTTGAGAAGGCTGCCCGTCCTTACCATGCGGGTTGACTGTGCGAGACCTCGGAGGTCCGCGCGGAGCCCTCGGATCGGCGCTGGGGGCCCCCAGCGGCACAGGGCTCATGGGCGAGGTCCGCACGATGCTCCATGGGTCCTTTCGGGTCGGGCGAAAGGGGGGGACAGCAAAGGGGGGGTTTGAGAATCAGCTCACGTAGCTGATTTTCCCGGCGCCTCCCGGCGCCGGGAGGCGGCCATGTATCGAGGAATGGGCCCGGCGGCGGGGTCGAAACCAGCTGCATGCAGCAGATTTCGTAACCCCCCCTTTCCCAAACCCCCCCTTTCGCCCGACCCGATCTTTCTGGGAGTCGGCCCCCATGGCGCCCCTCATCTGGTCCAGGCACGGCCCAGACCCGCAAGGGGCTTCGGTCGTTCTCCCAGGCTGCTTGCAGTGAAAGCCTGACTGCACCCGCCGAGGCCCTAGGTTCCAACGACGGCATACCACTCGAAGCGGTCGCACTGAGGACCTCCCGCCCCAGTGCAATCTGACATCAGACGCTCCGCACGCGCTGCAAACAGGAAGCACCGGCACCACAACCAGACCAAAGAGAAAGGTGCGATCTTTGCTTGGCTCGGGGTTTCCGTTGACGTGACATCCCAAAATCACCTGGCCCCAACCCCCCCTTTGGTTTTTTTTCTGAGCAGGGCCTCCGGCCCCCGGTGACAGAGCAGGTGCCCAAGCTTGCGGCTGGAAGGGCCACGTGCACGGCGCCGCCGGGCACCTCCAGGACCTCGTCGCGGGCAGGCCGTGCCAGCCCCTGCTCGAGCGGGTGCCTCAGGCCAGACCCTCTGCGCACGAGGCGCGAGAAGCCCTCGAGGGGTGCGCAGAGGTCTTCATTCCGGGGCGGGTGGGGGCACGCCGCTGCCTGCGCAGACACTCGTCTGGGCTGCCCCAGATTAGCTGGCAGTTCTCGGCCAGGCAACTTGCGCATGGTTCATGGTTCCCGAGCCTGGCGCCCTGGCACATTTTATCCCGACGGCATCCTGGCGGACCGTCGCCGACCCGACCACTCTTGGGGCTGGCTTGGTTTGAGCAGGTCTTTACCACGCGCGTTGAGAAGCGACCACAAAGGGCTATTAAAACACACATGGCCTGGCGATGGACCCGACTATACGCAGATGCGTGTAGCGGTGTAGCGCAAGGCGGGGCCCTTTCTACGTATACATGTTTGCATACTACCAGCACGCAGGAGTATAGACGGATGTATGTGTGTAAATGTATGGGTATAGATGGATATGCATGCAGAAGTACCTATGTGTACACATACATGTGTATATATATATATATATATGTGTAGACACGCCTGCCTAATTATATGCATACACACATACAAGCAAACAAGTATGTATGCATGCATGCATGCATGCATACACACATGCATACATACATTCATGCATACATTCATACACATCCACACATACATACATACATACATACATACATACATACATACATACATACAGACATGCATGCATGCATGCATGCATGCATGCATGCATGCATGCATCCACCTACACACATACACACATACATATATGCATACATACGTAAGGGCATACCAACTTACATACATACAAATATGCATGCATACATTCATACATACGTGCATAGATGCAAGTGTGCATACATAATTACACACATACATACATGCATACGTGTATCCATACAGACCTGCATACAAACATACAAACACACATGCAGACGTAAATACATACATGCATGCATACATGCGTGCATACATTACATGCATACATGCCTACTACTATACATACATGCTTGCATGCATACAGATATATGTGCAGACATTCTACATGCACGCATACATTCATGCATGCATGCATACATACAGACAGTCATACATACATACAGACCTAAATGCGTACATCGCTTTACACTTCTACATACGTACGCGCATGTGACCATCCACACACACACATACACATACGTGTACGCAGACATGCATGCAAACTTGCATGCATGCATGCATACGTACATGTATACATACATGTATGCATGCGCACGCATGCATACATACCTACATAACACAATCGTATGTGCATGCAGTCATGCATACATGCATGCATGCACACATGCACACATGCATGCGTATACATATATGGCTGTATCTACATGCACGCACAAATAGAGACATCTGCATATACATATGCATACATTACATACACACGCAGTTGTACATACACGCATGCATGCATACACACACCCGCATAACCACAAACACACCTACCTACAGGCATACATACATACATACATACATACATGCATACATACATACATGCATACATACACACATACACACACATATACACATACATGCATGCATGCATGTCTACATGCATGCATGCACACATATATATACACATGTATACATACATACATACATACATACATACATACATACATACATACATACATACATACATACATACATACATGCATGCATGCATGCATGCATGCATGCGTGCATACATACATACATACATACATGCACACATCCATACACACACACATACATACACACATACATACATACATAGATACATACATACAGACAGACAGGCAGACAGACAGACAGACAGACATCCATACATACAGACATCCATACATACACACAGGTGTGGACAGGCGGCGGCGAGGCAAGCTCGCAGAGTCATGCTGACCTCTCGGTCGGGCGAGCAACGGTTGAGAAGTGTGCCAAACTGGGTGGGGGGCGGGGGGCGAGCGCACGAGCTGGGGCCGCCACGACACGTGTGAGGGGTGTGTCGAAATGAGCGGCGTGCGCGATGCGGGCGCCCTCCCTGGTGCCGTATGGATGAACCTTGTAGGGCACGTGTGCGGGGTGTGCCGACACGGGCGAGGGCAGCGCAAGCACCACAAGAGGAAGAAAGGGACGAGCAGAAGCGAGGACCCAACTCAATACAGGGAGGTTGGGGAAAACTCTCAACCCTCTTCCTGCCCCTCCTCATCCTCCTCCTCATCCTCCTCATCTTCCTCCTTCGCCTCATCCTCCTCCTTCGCCTCCTCCTCCGCATCCTCATCATCGTGCTCCTCCTCCTCCTACGTGATCCGCCTCCTCCTCATCCTCCTGCTCGCCCCCCTCCTCCTCCTCCTCCCCCTCCTCCTCCTCCTCCGCCTCATCCTCATCCTTCTCATCGTCCTCCTTCTCCTCATCCTCCTCATCCCCCTCATCCTCCTCCTCCCCATCCCCCACCCCACCCCCCGCTCCTCACCCCCTTTCAAACGCCCCCCCCCGTCCTCCTCCCTCCACCTTCCCTCCCATCATGTCATTTCCCCTCCGCCTCCACGCAGCCTCCTCGAACTGATAGTTCGATGGCGACGTCGACGACGACGGCGCCGAAAACGACGACGATACGGGGGGGGGGGCCTGAGTGTCCGTATGGAGCACATGGCTTCCAGCACAGTCCACGAGGCCGTCCACGAACGTGCCCTGGTACTCGCGCCTGCGCGCGGAAGCCGTTATCCACATCAATTCCCTACATGTTCCTCCTCCTCCTCTTCCTCCTCCTCCACCTTGTCCTCCTCATCCTCCTCCTCCACCTCCTCCTCCTACTCCTCCGCCTAATCGTTCTCCTCATCGTTCTCCTCGT